GTTTGGTTTCTCTCTGTACATTGCTTTGTTTGATAAAGTTTCTTCTCTTGGAAGTGGCGGTGACCATGTGATGGACGCGATATCCCAGTGCGAGCAGTACGCTAAAGAGCAAGGCGCTCAGGAGCGAAATGCACCTTGGAGATTATTCTTCAGGAAAGAAATATTCGCTCCTTGGCACGAGCCAACTGAGGATCAAGTCGCGACGAATCTCATTTACCAGCAAGTAGTCAGGGGAGTTAAATTTGGCGAGTATAGGTGTGATAAAGAAGACGATTTGGCTATGATAGCAGCTCAACAATATTACATCGAATATCACACTGATATGAATGTCGATCGTTTATTTGCATTGCTTACTAATTATATTCCTGACTACTGTCTGACTTCTCTGGAAAAACCTATCGAGGTTTGGGGACATCTTGTTTTGCAGGCGTATAAAAAAAGTTATTACCTCAAGGAAAAAGTTCCGGCTCTTCGAGTAAAAGAAGACATTGTAGGGTACGCTAAATTCAAATGGCCGCTGCTGTTTTCACGTTTTTACGAAGCTTACAGAAATTCAGGGCCAAACTTGCCTAAGAACGACGTTATTATTGCTGTTAATTGGACAGGAGTTTACGTGGTTGATGATCAAGAACAAGTGTTACTAGAGTTATCATTCCCTGAGATCACTACAGTGTCTAGTCAAAAAACAACTAAAATGTTTACCCAAACTTTCAGCTTGTCAACGGTACGCGGTGAAGAGTTCACCTTCCAAAGTCCAAACGCTGAAGATATTCGTGATCTGGTTGTTTACTTTCTCGAAGGCCTGAAAAAGCGAAGTAAATATGTAATTGCTCTGCAGGACTACAAACCTCCAGGCAATGAGAATAATTGTTCATCATTCCTTACCTTCCAGAAGGGTGATTTGATAGTTTTAGATGACGAGAGTACGGGAGAGACGGTGTTAAATTCCGGGTGGTGTATTGGAATTTGCGAGCGGACTGGAGAAAAAGGAGACTTTCCAGCAGAAACTGTTTACGTTCTTCCTTCATTGTCCAAACCACCCAATGATATTCTTGCGTTGTTCAGTATTGAGGCGCCAGAAAACAGCCGTCGGCTTTATCCGCAACAAATAAACGGGATTGAGCCACGAGACAAGCCTCATACACTGCTTGAATATTCGATAGATCATTTTAGAACTCCTCCGAAGAGAACAATGTCCAAAGCTCTGACATTAACAACTGCAAGACGCGGCCACGTTGATGAACTTTGGCGGCATTCTAGGGATCCAATAAAAGCACCGCTTCTGAAAAAATTAATTTCTAAAGAAGAACTGGCTGAAGAAGCTTGTTTTGCTTTTAATGCTATACTTAAATACATGGGAGACTTACCGACCAAGAGACCGAGGATTGGTAATGAGTATACTGATTTAATATTTGAAGGGCCATTAAAGAATGAGATTCTCCGTGATGAAATTTATTGTCAAATAATGAAACAATTGACGGACAATAGGAATAGATTGAGCGAAGAAAGAGGATGGGAGCTAATGTGGCTCGCTACGGGTCTCTTTGTCTGCAGTCAGAGTTTACTTAAAGAATTGACGTTATTCTTACGCACCAGGCGACATCCGATCTCTCAAGACTCGCTTCAAAGATTACAAAAGACGCTGAGAAACGGACAACGGAAATATCCACCGCATCAGGTTGAAGTCGAGGCGATTCAGCATAAAACTACCCAAATTTTCCACAAGGTTTACTTTCCGGATGACACTGATGAAGCGTTTGAAGTTGATTCCTCGACCAAAGCTAAAGACTTTTGCCAGAATATCGCTCAAAGACTTAATTTAAGATCTGCTGAAGGGTTTAGTTTGTTTGTTAAAATTGCTGACAAGGTCATTTCCGTTCCTGAAGGAGATTTCTTCTTTGATTTTGTAAGACATTTGACGGATTGGATTAGAAAAACTAGACCATCGAGAGATGGTAGGTTTAATATATCTTTTTTATTTTATTATATTTATTTCAATAATCATTTAAATGATTTTTTTTTTTTTGTTACAGGTGTTTCACCCCAATTTACCTATCAAGTTTTTTTTATGAAAAAATTGTGGACTAATACTGTTCCTGGTAAAGATCGTAATGCTGATTTGATATTTCATTTTCATCAAGAATTACCTAAACTATTACGAGGTAAATTATTTAAAAATATTTTTGTAGTTGTTAATTGATGTAATTAATGTGTTTATTAAAAATTTATTAAAAATATTTTTTTACAGGATATCATAATTGCTCAAAAGAAGAAGCTTCAAGACTGGCTGCTCTCGTTTATCGAGTACGGTTCGGCGAAAGTAAACAAGAACTTCAAGCAATTCCGTAAGTATTTTTAATAAAATAATTATAATAAAAAAAATTAATTTATATATATATATATATATTTTTTTTTTTTTAATATTTTAGTCAAATGTTACGCGAATTAATTCCCGGTGACTTGGTTAAAATCCAAAATGCAAACGATTGGAAACGATCTATCGTAGCAGCTTATAATCAAGATGCAGGTAAATAACTAAATTGACTTAAGCTGTATACATAAAAGTATGTACAATATTTAATTGTTAAACTATTACTTCAACAGGAATGAGTCCTGAAGATGCGAAAATACAATTCTTAAAGGCAATCTATCGTTGGCCAACATTCGGATCAGCTTTCTTTGAAGTCAAACAGGGAACTGATCCAAACTACCCAGAATTATTGCTGATTGCCATCAACAAGACCGGTGTGAGTCTTATTCACCCTCAAACAAAGGTAATATTAATTGTAATTATTAAAATTTAATTACCCATTCTGTTTAGGAAATATGAATAAAAATAATTTATTTATTTAACAGGAAATATTGGTGACTCATCCGTTTACAAGAATCTCCAACTGGTCATCGGGTAATACTTATTTCCACATGACAATCGGAAATCTAGTTAAAGGCTCAAAACTACTTTGCGAAACATCTTTAGGCTATAAAATGGATGATTTATTAACTTCATACATCTCCCTAATGCTTACAAATATGAACAAGCAACGAACTATAAGAGGTCCGAAATCATAATCAACTAAATCGTCGTTTTGAAAAAAAAAAAAAAAAAAAAAAAAAAAAAAATCTTTTTTACTCTACTAATTAAATATGTACAGAAAGGTGCATTTATTTTATACCGATGTTGTAAATGAATGTTATTTTTTTGATAGATGGGATCGAAATTTGTAAAATATTAAGCACTATTAAAGTTAAAAAAAGTCAATGATAATTACTTAATCAAAGTAAGATGAGATATACGTGTATATACAATTATTAAAAATGATATTCATATACATAAGATATATTTGTATTAAATAGAGTTAAATAATTATAATGAGAATGTATGAAATAAATATTTTAGCTATTTTATTTTTCATACACTTCTCTTCTCAAGATCGTCGCTTCCGTCCGTATTATAAGAATAAAATAAAAAATTTTATTATAGCGGCAATGTATTTTTTTTAGCTTCTGTTAATTATCAGGATTCATAACTGTGGGCACTATTTTTCTCTACAATAAGAATTCTTTAATTGTGGGTAAATTCCCACAATATACTCTAACAATATTATTGTCGTAGTAACAATATAAACTACAATATCTTTGGGAAGGGATGTGCCAAGTAATTCGAATATACAAACTTGATACTATCTCGCTTCCTTATGTGCTATACATATACATGTGTATATAGATTTTATTATTATTATTCCTTTTTTCTCTAAAAATCCTGTGGAAAATTTACACTAAAATTAATTATGTCTTCTATGGTATTGTCATCAGTTTTTAATTACTTTTTTCATTAACGGTAATTAAATTAAAATTTTTATTATTAATTAAGCTCATAGTGTAATAAAAGAATAGAAAAAAAAAAAAAAAAAAAACTTTAATTTTTTTTTTTTAAACTAAAAAACAACAATTTTTTTTTTTTTTTTACAAAAAATGAAAAAACTATACTTTGATTTATTTTGTTCATTTATAATATATATATATATATATATATCTCTATATATCATTGTCATTTCATTACATATATATTTGTTCTCTTTGTGCAAATTAATAATTATAATTAACTTAATCAATTATTATCAGTATAATAATTTGTTTGTATATTTGTAATATGACAAATAAATTATAAATATTAATATGCACGTTGTCGTGTTAATATTTCTGTCTTAATAATAATATTAAGTGAGTACCTATATGTATTAGTAATTATTATACATATTTTCATCTTCGATAATCATAAAGAAAATTACATTGTGCCAAGGTATTATTTACAATAATCAAAAACTTTATTTACGTACTTGTATATTCTTCTTTAGAATCTAAATCCTTTTCGTATAATTATTATATAATTTCTACTCTGAGTATTTGATAAATTTATCAGAGAATAAGAAAATAATATCGTAGAATTACAAAAACTATTGCAATTAAATTTAATATTTACATTATTAATAGTTCAGCAGAACAAACTATAAATTGAGTTATTTAAATACTATTTTTTTTTTTTAATTTTTAATTTTTAATTATAAACTATACTTAATTCCATATTAAAACCTCTAAATTATTTTTCTGTAAACGAAAAGTCCACTTGTCACATACAAAACTTATAAAAAAAAGTCCACAAAGTCTTTTTACACACAATCATTAATATATCTTTTTTTTTTTTTTAAATTCCTACAGTCTTATTCTTGACTCTACCATAAATTATTACACAAATATTTTTTAGAGTTAACATTAATATCGTCCACATAAAATCACTACAAAATAAATTATAAATTTTAAGCTCAACGCGACCGTTCGCGATAATTACACAATTGATCCTCGTCAAATGAAGAATCAACAGTTCGTTGTTCATCAAGGCAAGAATTATTATGATTACGATAATTAAAATCAGTATCGTACTCCTCGACGGAAACATTTGATATGAATTCGGTTTGATTGTCCGTATAAAAATCATTAGAGTATCAAAGACCCGGCTGAGTCGGAGGATGATGAGAATTCCAAGGAACATCAGCGATGGCTGGTGGCATACTTGCTTGATTATGATGAGGCATGGCTCGTGGGGCTCTCATAATTTCATCAGCGGGTGGACAGTGTGGCCTGGGCCCGGGTTCTGGGGTATACGTGAAGGTCAGACCAGTGGCATAAATAATCCCGTCATTGCGAACGAGAGAAACGGGAACTTGAGTAGGCTGGCGTACCCAGAGCCACTCACCGCGGAATAAAGAAATGTCAGGCACAACGCACAACATTATTTCCTGACACCTGTACATTGTTTCAGCCTCAACATCTCCGAACCAAACTTGCAAATTTGGGGTAAAATTGTCGCCTTTAAGTTCAAGCATCGCAACATCTCCACCGCCGTTTAGGTGAAGACTGTGAACTAATGGTACAGGAGTAACCGGGGAGCGTACCGGACCCATTCCTTCGAAGAATTGATACTCTGCTTTATCAGTACTGATGATTGTCCAACAAGCGCCGTCGTTAATCATCTCTTTGTTAGCTTCTTTAGGGCAGGGCGTAGCTTGGAACTGGATAATTCGCTCCTGAGACAGACACAAGTACATATGGTCGGTGTCTTTCATGTAGAACGCACATTTGTGCAGCTGAGATACCGGATCATCAGCCTCGAGGCTCGCCATTTGTTTATCTACCTTCCTAATAACTAGACGCGGTAACGCCATCCCTGTAACTGAGCACACCAGCTTAACAGTACTCCCATAATGGACGTATCCGTCACGAACTTGGAATTCTTCTGACTCACTCTCATTGTCATCCAGCAGATGGATGGTAAATGCGCCCCATTGTGTCGAGCTTGCGTGAAAATTTCCATTTTCAACGTGCAAATAACGCGTGCTTACAGTTTGCGAGCGCAATCGATTAAAAAGAGCGACTTTAGTACCGCTAGCAATACACAAATCAGCATTTTTCAATGACTGTTTCTTTTTCGACGGCTTTGAGATGACTTTTATTCTCTTGCTGTGGAAAACGCCAATGTCATGTCCACTGCCGTAAAACATCTTGACCGACAGCATAAAGTGCTTTCTCTTGTCGGAGTCTGATATGTAGAGTGTCTTAGCAGCGCAATACTGTTTGCCATTATTGAGATCCAACTGCTGCATGTCTTGATCAGAATTACCGATCCCAATAAACGCGCAGAGTTGAGCTGATTGCTCGCTCTCGCCTTCTCTGAGCATCTGCTCCTGGCGCATTCTCCAGCCATCGCCAAATAAATATATACAGGGCGGTGGACAGAAAAAACGCTTCTCATTACCGTATGATTTTTGAGCAACTTTAGCGTGGAGAATTACGATAACCATATCACTGCGATCGCGCAGATACCGTTCCATGGCTTCGCGTGTTAACCGCTGATCTTGATGATCTCCTCGGTAAACTGTTGAGCTGTAACGTGGGTATGCCGACATAACAGCTGTCGGCGAGGGTGGCGATTGCATTCCGTGGGCCATGGCTGGTAGACCAAATTGATGAGGCATTTTTTTATATAAATAATCTTTGTTTGCTATTATTTTCCCAGCGGCCTTGACAATGACGATGACCAGGGCTTTATTACCACCTCTTCTTTCTCTTTTTTCTTGTCCTCATAACACGACCTTACTGCTTTCACTTGCCCACCGGTACATCACGAACTGAAATAATAATCAAATTTACATTATTAGTGTTAATATTTAAAATTATTATAAAATTGTTTAGATATTTTTATATTTTATAATAACAAAGTTAAATTTTTGTTTAATTTATTAAATTAGAACTAAAAAAATTTTTTTTTTTAATTGCACTTACAGTTTTTTAAATTTTTTACTAATGAAATTAAAAAAAAAAAAAAAAAATGATTTTTTGAATAAAAAAAATTCTAAAAATTTTTAAATGTCGGCTAACTTTATTGTCATTAATTTTTTAATTATCTTATGATTGTATCATTAATTAGATGTAATTAACTAATATATTTTTATACTTTCTAATTGATATTGTAGATAAATGATTGAAAGACTAGAAATTACTAATTTTTAAATAGTATTTTGCCCTTACGGTTCTATGTCATTAAAATTATTAAAAAAATATATAATAATAACAGTATTTCTGTGCATGTGAATTAAGAGTGTTGATGTTTTGTTTTTAATAGTTGTTTGTTTGTTACAAGTGTAATGTGAGTACATTTAAAAATATTTTTTTGCGTGGGAAGATTCGTCGTTTTGTTCTCCAAGTCATAATTAATTCAAGAAATCTCGCGTCGACTACGTTGACTACTGTACTGGGAATTACAGACTTCCAGCGCAGGAAAGAGGAAATGCGTTCAAACTCGTGAGAACATCGTCGAGGCCGTTTTTCTTCACTTCAATCAACCACATTCCCCTCGTGTACTGTTGTTGTCTCGTTATTGTAATAACCATTGTACATGTTAAGTTTATTCAAATAAATTTGAACACGATAAACTTTAGCTTTATGGATTGAGTAAAGATAATTGTTTAATTAATTAATTAAAAAAATTTTATTTTAAAGCAAGTATAAAGAGTGTTACTCTGATAAGGATCATCCCCTTGAATGGTTATTAAAAAAAAAAATTGTGACCTCGGTGCAAGTGCAATTACAGCTAACCCGCGAGCTCTGGACTTCCGAAAGCCAACAACTCGCATACATATTGATGTACATAAATTAATTGTGCAGTCTAGATGATGATAGGCGCTCGTTGGATTATTCTCTGACACAATTTAACTCTAACACTAGGAATACTATCCGTCAGTTATATAATACAATTTTTTTATCACTTAATATTCATTTATATAAATATAAATATAAATATATATTACAATGCTACTGTTAATTAACTAATTAACTCGCTGAATACTTGTTTAACAAACAATTTCAATTTAAATATAATTATCAATAATTACCGGTTTGTTTTTTTCATTAATATTTTGCTGAATTTTAAAAGTAAATAAACAAATCATTTTTTCTGTACCAAAATCATTGACGCGTATAGGTTATATATGTCATTCAGATCATTATGATTGCAATGTCTATAAAAAAATATTTTCAATTAAAAAAAATATACAGAAAATTTTTAAATAAATATTAAAAAAAATAAAAATTATTTTTAATAATAATAAACATTTTTTGTCAAAGTGTCAAACTCAGTCATGATTTTAAAAATATAAAATTCATAAATAAAACCATTTTAAAAAAATTATTTAGAAAATGGAGAAAATAAAAAAAAAAAAAGTCATGTATACAATATAAAATATTGAGCCGAAATTCGGCATTTATAGACACTTACTCTGTTATTATTAAATATGTACTCAGTTAAATGACAATAACTCCATAATTGTAGCTCTCATGATGCGGGTCTGTTAATAAAACGTCAGTTTTAAATAGTTAAAATAGAATAAACCACCAATTAAAATGAAAGCAAGCTTGTATTATTTTTTCCAACACTCAGGACCTCGGCACCTGGGTCTCTCGCTTAGTCTGTATTTGTACTAAGCTTAAGATTTATATGCATACAGATATTCGATTTGCGCTAATGTGTTTGTATTATTGTCGGTGTGAGTGTAAATCCAAAAAACACCTGTTCACTATCCGAATTTTCCAACAGTCTTGCCAACCCGCTCTCATTTACGCGGGTTATTCAAATTAAAAATACTAAAGTTAGCCGACGTTTTTAATTTTTTCATTTATTTAATTAGAACTAAGAAATATTTTTTTGGAAAATTGCACTTCAAGTTTTTTACAAATGAAAAATTTTTTCATAATTATTTTTAATGAAAAAAAATTCTTAAAATTTTTAGATGTCTGCAAACTTAATTTTCATAAATTTAAAATTCTGCTCCGATAACAATAACAATTATATATAAAACAATTACATGAAGACATACCACGTGCATACATTGACACACTAAACGTCAAACGTCAATACATCAATAGTTATAAAATATTAATAAAATAATTATTGCAATAATAAAAAATTAAATTAATAATTATTTAAAAAAAAAAATTTCTTTGGTTTTTTGACGTAGACTTTTTGTAAAATTTCAGTAATTAACATCTTTCCTTGACGAGATACATCGTTAAACTAAAAGCACTTCTTCACAACACCGTAGACTTATTGGCCCGTAGTTTTCTATTGTTTTACCGTTGTATACAATGACGGGCTGACGGGACCTGGTGACGACCCTAGCGCCTCCACCCTTCTCTTGCAACGCGTGTTCTCCCACCAATAATTCTTCAACTATATAACACACTAATACTAATATTATTATCATCTACGTAAGTACGTACACATATTTACACACTCATACTAAAATGCATATCTGTAGTTATTAAATTTCCCCCCTGTGATCTTTTTCGTCCAGGCTTAACATTTGTACATCCATCCATCTACTACATCACATTTTAGTATATTTATTGACACTCATACATGTGAGTGTCTATAGACTTACACATCCATAAAAAAAAAACAGATTTAGTTGGAGCTTATAGCTTATAGCTTATAGCTTATAGCTTATAGCTGTGCCACCGCCGCTCTCTTTTCTTCCCCGCACGCCGTGGAATTGCTGCCGCAAAAGGATGTTGGGGTTACTCTGGAGGGCGTGGGAAAAACCTGCTGTGGGAAAGAGTGGGTGGCCTCTACCTCACTCCACTTCCAAACCATCATCATGATATACATTCATATCTCTGAAACTCAGACATACACACAGGTTTTACCTACTTTTATATAAATTTTATAAAAATAATTATTAAGTACTGACTATTTTTTTATTTTTACAGAATAAAAAACTTTCTATCTCATTTTTTACGATTCAACGGTACCAGTGTTATTTAGTTATTTATATACTTACAAGAAACACAAGTATTTATTTTTTTTCTTCCCATTAAAATAAAATTGAGAAGAGATTTAAGCCAATTCTATGCAATATCCGTGGGAATTTTAAAAAACCAAGGTTTCTTTTATTTTTTTTTGTCTAAGCTTCAAGATAATTTAATGAAAATTACTTAATTTAGCGTACATTTAATAATTCTTAAAATTATATAACAAATAAATAATATGGCAAAAAAAAAAAAAAATTGACAAGTGAAAATTTTAAAAAATAAATAATGCAATTTTTCAAAAATGATTTTTTGGGCCAAATTTTTTTGTTAAATAAAATTAAAAAATTGTTAAGTGTGACAGCTACCTTTAATGTCATGATAATTTATGCTGGATTTATGAGCTGGGATTTAATGTTTATTTTTTTAGGTACTATATTTAATCACTGTCTCGTCATTCCGCTGACAGTTTTAATAGTTATAAAATAATAATGCTTAGTTACTTTAAAATATTCATAACTGGCTATGTTTGAATTATTAACTAGTAGGTATAGTCTTCGTATTCGAATTCGGTCTACTGTGCATATATAATAGATTATCGTTACTCTGCAACTAACTAGTATAGTATGCAGAGCTGTCTAATATAACAAGACATCCGCTGATGGGAAATAAAATGAAACTTTATGACCGCAGCGAATCGAATTTTACACGTGTGTATTATGAATGAGAATATCAAATGATCGCGTGTAGATGTTGGTAGATAGATAGCCCATTATATATAACATTATAAACCGCGTGAGAATGTTTTTATTTCTTTCAAGTAACAAGTATTTAAATTGTATTATTGTGACATCTCGCGTTGAAAATGACGACATCACACTGATGATACTTCATTACCGACTAGTATTAAAGAAAGACATGCGATCATGATCACTAAAGTACCAAGGCGTTGTTTTTAAATAGTGTTGTTATTGTTTGACATTTTAATATAAATATGATTTGTTTATTTACTTGAGATTTTGTCATTTTAAATTGTTTGTTAACTATGGGAGTAACTGGGTTGTGGAGGTTGATTGAAAAGTCTGGTAAACCAGTACCTCTGGAAACTCTAGAAGGCAAAATTCTTGCTATAGGTATTTTATAATGCAACTTTAACCTAGAGAATATAAACAATAAATTGTTTATTAAAAAGTTTTATAATTTAATATATTTTTTTAGATATATCAATTTGGATCCATCAGGCGTTGCAGGGTTATCAAGATCGTCGAGGACATGCAGTTCCTAATGCACATTTATTGCTTTTATTTAAACGTATATGCAAGCTTTTGCATTATAGAATAAAACCAGTATTTATTTTTGATGGTGGTGTTCCATTATTGAAGAAAAATACGATAGTATGTATATTTTCTTTCTATTTATAATTATGAAAATTAATTTAGCATATATTTGATAATTTTAAGAATTTTTTTAACAAATAAATTATCGCAAAAAAGTAGAAAAAAAAATTAAAAAATGATTAAGTGACTGCTAATTTTAATGTCAAATTTAATTACTCCTTTAAATAAAAATAAATTCACAACTTTATATAATTATTTTAGGCTGCAAGAAAAAAACACAAAGCTTTGGCGGCTGGAAAAGCTGAAAAAGTTAAGAATGATCTATTGCATAACTTGATGAAAGTGTCATTGGTAAAAGCTGTGACGTCTAAAAGCAACAATGACGACCAAGAACAATCTCAAGGTTCGTCGAGACAGATTAAGCAAGTTGATAACATGTTCAAGTTGCCCGATTTACCGGACAATTTATCAGATCATGAGTCCAGTGACGAAGAGTCCGGGCGTCGATTGAGTCCTCGCAAGCAGGCAAGGTGGAAAGGTAATATTCATCAGGTTGATATTAATAATGATGATTTTCGAGCACTACCAGCAGACGTTCGTTATGATATTCTAACCGATCTGAAGGATACGCGTAAGCAAAATTCTTGGGGACGTTTTAAAGAGATGCCGCAGGATTCCCAGCTGTTTTCTAGCTATCAAATGAATCGATTGCTGAAACGTAGAAAGGTCCAAGAGTCTTTGGAGATTGCGGAAAAAGAAATGGGTGGTAAGACACTTACTTTGGATGAGCTAGAAAAATTATTAAAAGATCAGGGAGTCGATACAAAGGGTAGAGACGATACTGCTTTTCGGATAGCTTCTAATAGTACTACGCGCTTGGTTTATGTCAATGATCTCAAGGCTCTGAAGTCGAGTCAAGAGGCAATTGATGCTAAAGCTAAAGATATCGGTCAATCTCAATCAGGTGATTCGAAATTATCTGTTCCAAGTGAGCTTTCACAGACGAGTGATGATTCGAAACTTTCTGCAGTTAGTGAGCCTGGTTGTTCGCAGATGAATTTATCTGACGATGATTCAAAATTATCTTTAATCAATGAACCTGGTTGTTCACAGATGAATGGTGAAGATTTAAATTTACCTGTAGATAAAAATCTTAAAGTCCTGAATGATATCGATGCATATGATTTGGAAGATGATTGGGAAGAAGAAATAGCAATAAATGAAAAACCCGTCGAATCTCCTGCAGTTAAAAAATATTTTGGTAAACCTGCTAATCCTGTGTTGGCTTATATGCAAGCACAGTGGGGCTTGTCGCATGAAAAAATTCTTGAGTTTTTAGAGCACAGAGATAAAAATAATTCGCCGGATTTAAATCAAAGTACAAACGCGGGTAAAAGAAAGACGCCTAGTGGTGGTAAATTATTTTTTGGTAGAAGAAAAAAATCTAGAACTGATTCAGAGTCTAGTTTCGAGTCGGTTAAAATTGAAGAAGTTTCTACCCCGGAAGTAATAGTTGAAGAAAACACACTAGTGTCTGATGATAAAGTTGAAACGATTAGTAGTTCTTCAGATTCTGATGACTTTGTAGAAGTACAAGACGTTCCTATTCCTCAGATTAAAACGGAGAAAAAACTTGAAGTTACTGTTAAGCCTGTTGATCTATTGGATGAAGAAGAAGATATGTTTGCTGATGTTTTTAAAGATGAAGCTGTAAAAACTAATCAAAAGTTAGATAAAACTGAAATTGTAAAAACTAATAAAAAGACGGATGATGAAGATATGTTTGCTGATGTATTTAATAATAAAATTCTAAATGAATCATCAGATTCATCGACAAGTAAATTAGATACCATTGATCTTGATTCGTCTGCTGATTCTTCCTTAGTAATTAAATTACCAGCTCAAGTAACTCCTTTGAAAAGAAAATCAGTAGATTCTATAAAACCCGATAAAATTAATTTAGAAATAGAAGAAAAGGAAATTGTTTATAAAACTCCAGAAAAATTAATTGATCAAATACCAGAAGAAGAAATAAATAAAAGCGAAAATATAGAAATTAAAAATGTACCAGAATTAGTGACAAAAAATAAAGAAGCTGATATTTTGTTAGAAGAGATTGAAGTTCAAGAACCATCTGAAGAAATCGTAGTCAAAAAAAAATCTAACAAAGTAGAGCAAATAATATCTGGCCTTGAAAATACTAAAGAAGAATTAATAAATAAAATGAACAAAAGAGAAGAGTTGTCGGAAATGAAATCGCAGTTAGAAAATGAAAATCAAGAATTAAGAAGTGAAATTGGAAAGTTAGAAAGACAATCATTGGAAGTAACTGATCAAATGCGTTGTGATGCTCAAGATCTTTTACGACTATTCGGTATTCCGTATTTGGTAGCTCCTCAGGAAGCCGAAGCTCAGTGCGCGTATTTAGAAATTCTTAATTTGACTGATGGAACTATCACAGACGATTCTGATATCTGGTTATTCGGCGGTCGCTGTGTCTACAAAGATTTTTTCAATAACCAAAAAGAAGTCTATGAATACCGATCAAAAGACATTGAGCATCACTTTAAACTAACGAGAAAACAAATGATCCAATTGGCTTTCTTAGTGGGAAGTGATTACACGATAGGACTTACAGGAGTTGGTACTGTAACAGCAATGGAGATAATTGCCAATTTTCCATCAGAAGGTGATGATATTCTCCGGGGTTTAATGAACTTTTCTGCGTGGCTTCGTGGTGGGACATTAAGAACCGAGCCGGGAAGAACTGTGCTGAGGAATAAATTAAAAAATGTCACTGTTGATCAGGGATTTCCCAGCCAAGCTGTCGCGCAGGCTTATTTATTTCCTACGGTCGACGAGAGCAAAGAAGCTTTCAGTTGGAGTAAACCTAACTTAGTTCTACTGCAAGACTACACGAGAGAAAAATTTGGCTGGTCTAGACTCAAGTTTGAAGAAACTATGGCGCCTGTGATGAAACGATTGTTGGACAACAAGTCGCAGAAGAATATTATGGCTTACTTCAAGGTTAGCACGGTGCCCAAGTCCATTGAGGAAAAATTAAGCAAGCGGGTGCAGAAAGCCGTCAGGAAAATTGGAGCTCAGGATGTTGATGATGCAGATCTGGTCGAAGAAGCTGATCAAGAAGATAATGAAGAACAAGGAGTTAAGAAGCGTAGAACTTATAAAAAGAAAACAAAAATTCCTGAGTTACTTGATCCGAATAAAGGAAGTGTTGATGGAGAGACTAAGGAAGAAAGGATAAAACGAATAAAAGAACAGGAAAAATTGCAGGAAGTTATTCCGCAAAGAGAAAAAGACAAAGCGGAAGCGTTGGAAAAAAAATTAAAAGCCATTGAAGTATTTAGAAAATCTAGAGCTGGGCCTGGAAATTCCGGGAAAAAATCTTTACGTAAAAAAAGAACTATTAAAAAAGATGCGGAGCTTTCCGAGTCCGGTGATAGTGATTAAATTATTTTTGTACTTTTTAATTTATTTGTAAATTTTACATTTAAAAAAATGGTTCAAGCTTTACAGTATAAAATATTTGAAATAATTAATTGAATCTTTGATAATTGAGCAGTTATCTAAGTTATTTTAGTTTGTAAGTGAAGAATAGAGAATGACTGGATGAATTCAATAAATATGTACATTAGCTAAGAATAGGATGATAATACTTTATCATGAGTGAGGATTAAAGATAAAGATTTGAGATTTTATTTAAAAACCAGCGACTGATCCGATTCGCCGGTAGTCAGAGTTTGCTGTCACGCCTGGATGATTTATTTTCGATATTGCCGCGACTGCGCTTCCTAGACCTCCGTAGAAAGAAACATTATGTTCAAGACTCTTTAAAAATTCTAATATTTGTTCATCGAACTTTGGTTCAGCTTCAAGTCTCATAGGTAGTAGCTGAAATTAAAATTAACAATAATTGTCATAAAATTTATCTATTTAATTTTTAACTAAAAATGACATACTTGATGGTGAAGTCTTCGAGCATCGACAGCTTCCTTGATAGTGTGTCCTCGCCAAAGATTTAATATTATTGTCAATGCTACTCCAGTTGTTATTTTTGTGCCTCCAGCTGCGCCGACAACTAATTGAACCTCTCCTTTGTCGTCTACCTACTCAATAAAATAAGTATCATTTATAAAATACAAATAATTATTTAGTTAATAAATATAAATAACTTTATTAAGTAATTAACTCACGATGATTGTTGGAGTCATCGAACTAAGCGGGCATTTGCCCGGTTCAATAAAATTTGCCGGTGAAGGAGGTAAGTCAAATCCGTTGGTAATATTTGGAGAACTAAAATCATCCATTTCGTCGTTAAATATAATTCCAGTAGACTTAGAGCGAATCATTGCACCAAATCTGTAATATTTTGTAATAAATGATTAATTATTGATAAAAAAACTAGCAAATAAATAATAAAATTTTGCTTTATTTAAATAATGGCTTCTGTTAAATCGCACTGTACTTTTTTAACTATTGATGTTTTTAAAGATATAAGCTCATCCCGAGGTTACACTTATCAAGAGCTTCCATTTGAGTACCCACATGCATTTTTGATATATATTTCATATATACATATATATATATAATATATATAAATATATGAAAAATTGATGTGGGTACTCAAATGAAAGGTCTCGATGAGTACAACATCAGGATGAGCTTATATCTTTAAAAATGTCAATAGTTCACAAGATACAAAGTCATTTAATTATTAATATAGATAACAATAATCGTCTATAAAATCTAACTTACACTTGATTAATTGTAGAAGTTACAGAAACAGCGGATCCATCAGGAGCGAGTACGGAAACATGTGCAGTCCCAGAATCGGTCGGAGTCGCAGTTACTGCACCATAAAATTTAGGATTATTACTCGTCCACTTGTCTTTAATTTTTAGTCGTATTTCTTCGGCGTAGCTCTCAGCCGTGAGATTGCGTTTCAAACTATCTACAAGCAATTAATAAAATCCTTGGTGAGTTTCCTTCAATTTATCCTTGGTAGACAAAAAACTATGAAAGTTTATCTATAAATTAATATTATATCTAATTAACATTATTATTCTTTTTACGTACCCAGCTCAACGAATCTATCATCACCTAGTTCAGTCCGATGAGCGTATGCCCACTTGAAGGTTTCAACGATACGCTGCCAGAATGTTTCTTTGCTAATATCCATCGGAAGTATTTTTTCGAGGACTTTGAGTATGAACGTCAATATTAATCCCGAGCCAGGTAATCCCGCAGTGTGTATCGTTAAATTACCGAGCTTGGATGTAATTGGATCTTTCCATTGAACTCTTGTCGCATAAAGATTACAATGCAATGAATTTAATCATTTATTTATAATTGCTATCAGTTAATAGCCTGTAATTATATACCTGTAATTCCGTAAGTCGTTCATGTCAATGATTCCTCCGAAGCCTTGGATTTCTTTAACGATTTCTTCACCCATGCTGCCATTGTAAAAAATACTGGCATTGTGTTTAGCTATGACCTTCAATGTTTCAGATAATTTAGGTCTTTTTAATCGATCTCCAATCTGTAATAAATATAAAATAACAAATATTTGCATTTAAATTAGATATTTGCTTTATGAAAAGAAATATTTACAGTCCAAGTTGAATTTGTTTGTGGATTGATAAGAATTTCAGCTAAAGTAGGCTCTGCCCGGATATAAGATATTTTATTTTTAAATCTCTCATCGAGATAATGATTCATTTCAATTCCTTCTTCACACAATTTAATCGTTGGTGTGAATAAATCTGCCCAGGGTAGTCTTCCGTATTTTTGGTGCGCTTCCCAATATCCCAACAGTTCTCCAGGAACCGCAACTGCTTTTCCACCTTCATTTAATAATATTAAAGTTAGCCGACGTTTTTAATTTTTTGATTCTTTTTTTAATAATTAAATTAGAAAAAAAAAAAAATATTTTTAAAAAATTGCACTTACAATTTTTCAAGTTTTTAACAAATGACAATTTTTTTTTTCTTTTTTTTTGTAGTCATTTTTTCAATAAAAAAAAATTTTAAAATTTTTAAATGTCGGCTAACTTAATTTTTTAATTTTTTTTAATAATTAAATCAGAACAAAGAAATATTTTTAAAAAATTGCACTTACAATTTTTCTAGTTATTTTTTACAAATGAATATTTTTTTATAATCATTTTTTCAATAAAAAAAAAAAATTCTACAAATTTTTAGATGTCAACTAACTTAATTCTAATGTTGATTTAATTAAAGGTACAATATTTATCACCTTAACTATTAACTAAATTAATTAATCTGAAATTTATAAAATTTTATTTACCAAACATAGATGCAGTAGCATTACCGCCGTACATATCTCTGGTAGCTTTTGCCGGCGCAGTTTCCCTGGCATTGAGGAATTCCGCTTTCTTAGTCTTAGCGTCCCAAATTGTCATTAAAAATCCACCTCCAAGACCCATACTATGTAATGCAAAAATAAATAACTATTTACTGAGTTATTAGCAAGAAGAAAAAAAATAAAGTAATTTTTTTTTTAGATTTACAATTTTAATTTATTGCATTAAATCAGTATGTAATAATCTTTTGACGTTGCTAGTTTAATTAAAGCAAATTGAGGAAAAAAATATTTATGTTTATTGTAAACAGTATGTTGTATAATACCTGTGAAGCGATGCGACTCCTTCACATAGTAATGTTGCTATTGCAGCATCGACTGCGGTTCCATTTTTAAGAAGCATACTATTTCCTATATCCGCGCATTCTCGTCCATTTGTTGACACTGCAGCCTGTGTAAAACAACAGTAATTATTTATTATAACTATAATTTTATCTGATTCATTTTTTATACACAAAAATAAAACTTTATTAATTTTCTGCAGTGACAATTGAATTAAATGATAAAATTATCTCCCAATAGAGATTAGTATAAATCTTTAAATAAATAAAATAACTTTATTGAAGTATGATTATAATCTTGCTAAATTGATAATTTAATTTTTATTCTATTTGATATAATTTACTTTTATAACTAACAAACCTTTTTAAATTGTCCAAGGTCTGAGTCACTGATGAATTTTTTAATTGAAGTTTCTTCTTCTTCTTCTTCTTCTGTCAATGTCTTCAAAAATACGACACAAGCGGTGATGATAAGAATGAAAAGAGCAAATGCAATTAATCCGCCGGCTACTACTTTCTTCGAGAGACTGAGAAAAATAGGAATCATTATTTATATTATACAAGTGCAAAAGAATAGAAAAAGAAGAAGTATAACTATAATCTAAATTCCTGTATTTTATTATCATCAGGTATTAAAATGTGCATTAACATTGCATAAAATTTATTAAAGAAGTAAATACTAAATCTACGAGCAAATATTTTATAAACTTCACGTGAAAATTAATTATTTTAAATTGTTAAATTAATATTAAGTGTAGCATTTTATAATAATGAAATTTTTAAGTATAAAGATAAAAACTACGAGATTTTTTTATGTGTGGTTAATTTAGATTGTTTTTTAACGTGTAACATTAGTAAGGAAAGACCTTGAGTTAAAGCAATTTCTGACATAACAAATAATTGCACAATATTTTTAGACCAATATGTTTTTTAACTTTAAATTAAATTATTTTTAAAGTAAAGGATATTGTTAATACAAAAATGTTAAAATTGCAGTGGTCATTTTAAATTAAGAAAGAATTAAAAGAAGAAGTTCACCCAGAAGTAAGTAAGCTAATCACATAACGATTTGTGATAAGATTACATTAATTAGATATAAAAAAACAATCATTTACCCAAACATGCCGAGTGCAATTTGTTATGCGACGTTGATAGATAAAAATTTACAAATCAACTAACTTGCTGAAAGTCGAAGACACTTCTATTATATACTTATCAAACACGGGTAAACTATATCAGCGGTGTTAATCTATAACTTCTCCCACTTGGTATTTATTCCTTAACGAAAGCTCGTCATTGATTTATCGAGTAACACACTACATACTTTTAAAGATAGACGGACGTTAATGATTCCTAATATTGTCTGAAAAATTTTTATCTTAAAATTGATAAGGAATTAATACAATTTCAATGTTTTGATGGAATTAATAAAAAAAACATTGCTATTAATTTTTTTCCTCATTCGTGACAAAAAATATATGTGTTATTCATCGAGCAATTAGGTTCATTGTATTATTGTTGATACAATGAAAGATTTATCTCTTTCAATTTTTTAGAATAATACTTCTACCGTGTAATTATTCTTGTCATTAATTTTAAAATCACAGTACTTATTTTTCTGTCAAGAATATTGACAAAAGCTTTTGTATTACTTGAATATTTTGAATTTTAAAAAACTAACTCATAATTATATGTAAATTTGAACAAACAAATTAATTTTATAAAAAAAATTTTATTAAAATAAATAAATAAATAAATAAATAAATAATATAAAATAATAAATTATACATGAAAAAAATTCAAGCTTAGTAAAAATATTTTAAGAAAAACTTAATCTGGTTTTTATAATACTGTAGACTCTTTAATATCTAAACTAAAATTAATTGAGCAATACTTGTAGGCTTTAAAAACCGGCGACCGTTCCACCTCGCCGATAATCAGCATTGATCGTCACTCCAGGATGATTTAATCTGGATATCGCAGCTACTCCGCACTCAAACGAAGCAGTCTTAACAGTGTGATTAAAGCTTCTTAAATGTTCTAATATCTTATCAGAGAAATTTGATCCTGCTTCTACTGTCATTGGAATTAACTAAAACATTAAAATCAACCATCAATAACTAATCCAATTTGTATTAGTTATAATTGTTAAAACTAAAAAAGCAATACATACTTGATGATGAAGTCGATGACTATCGATAGCTTCTTTGATGTTATATCCACGCCAGAGGTTCATTACTATGGTCAATGCAACTCCTGTGGTAATTTTTGAACCTCCTGCGGCGCCGACAACTAATTGAACTTGTCCACTTTTATCGACCTAAAAAATTAAATAAATATTATAGTTATTATTATTATTGAAGCGAATAACTTCAATGTAAGTAATCACTAATCACTTACAATAATCGTTGGAACCATCGAACTAAGCGGTCGCTTGCCCGGTTCTATAAAGTTAGTTGGAGAAGGAGGCAAGCCGTATCCGTTGGGAAGATTTGGCGTGCTGAAATCATCCATTTGATTGTTAAATATTATTCCAGAAGACCTCGAACGTATCAGTGAACCAAACCTAGGATTGAACAATTAGAGTTTAATTAAGCGTTTTTAAAAATATGATATAATTTTATTTAAAACTTCTTTTTGAAACTTACATAGTATTAATTGACGATGTTACAGAAACAGCGGATCCATCCGGAGCAAGTACGGAAACATGAGCAGTTCCAGAATCCATTGGACTGTCAGTCTCAGTTCCATAAAACTTGGGATCATTACTCGTCCAATTGTCAACTATTTTTCGGCGAATTTCTTCGGCGTATTTTTTAGACGTTAAATTCCGCGTTAAATCATCTGAAAATTAATAATACCTTCAGTAAGTTAAGAGTTTATTTATCTATTTATTATTATTTATTATAAAATAATTGTATATTTTATAGTACCTGTTTTAACAAAATTATCATCTCCTAGTTTTGTCCGATGAGCGTATCCCCATTTGAAGGTTTCGAGGATTCGCTGCCAGAATGTTTCTTCAGTTATATTCATTGAAACTAAGTTTTCGAGAACATTAAGCATGAATGTCAGCAGTGATCCCGAACCAGGTAATGCTGCAGTGTGCATCGTTAAATCACCGAAATTGGATGTTATCGGTTTCTTCCATTGAACTCTGTAAAGACCAGCAACAAATATTATAATATCATTCATAAATTATAACGTGTTTTAAATTTAATATCAATCAATGAATTAATACCTGTAATTCTGTAAATCTTCCATGTCAATAATACCACCTAAGCTTTGGATCTCTTTGACAACTTTTTCACCCATAGTGCCATTGTAAAAAATACTGGCATTATACCGAGCTATTAACTTCATAGTTTCTGCTAATTGAGGTCTCTTTAATCTGTCTCCTGCCTGTATAATAATTATAACATTTTTTTTATTAATAAATTTAGCATTTACTTTGTAAAAAGATTGAAGAAGATAAATACTTACAGTCCACGTGGTGTTAGTTCGTGGATTGATAAGAATTTCAGCTAGAGTGGGCTCTGATTTGATATCAACTGATTTCATCTTTAATACATTAGCTAAATAACCAGTCACTAAAACTCCTCTTTTACACAATTGGATCGTGGGAATGAATAAATCCGCCCAAGGAAGTCTTCCGTACTTTCTGTGAGCTTCCCAGTATCCTAAAATTTCTCCGGGAACTGCGATAGCTTTTCCACCTGAGGTAAATCACAGTTATAGTAATTTTATATATTTTTTTTTTTTTAATATATAAAATTGTATTTACCTTTTTTAGATTCCTGAGGATTACCCACAAACATATCTTTGGTAGCTTTAGCCGGAGCGCTTTCTTTGGCATTTAAAAATTCAGCTCTTTGATTTTCTGCATCCCAGATTGTCATTAAAAATCCACCGCCTAAACCCATACTGTAAAAAAAAGTATAAATCTACATTAGTTTCTTTCTATAAATCTCTGTAACATCTCTTCATTAAATTGATAATAGTAATAATAGATATCAAATAATTACGACTTATTTGTATTACCTGTTAAGAGACGCGACTCCTTCGCATAATTGTGTAGCAATTGCAGCATCGACAGCAGAACCATTTTTTATAAGGATACTATTTCCTACTTCTGCACATTGTCCGGTTGAAGATACTCCAGCCTATTATTTAATTAAATTTTTATTAGTACATAAAATTTTTTTTAGTTTCAAATAAAATAAGAACATCACAGCTTACCTTTTGGAATTTTCCTAGAGGCGATGCGCTTATGAATTTTATCTCTTGAAAATGGAAATTTATAAAAAAAACTATGCACGCTGTTATGATAAGTATTAAAATAGCCAATCCAGCGAATGCACCGATTACTATTTTCTTGGGAATCCTAAAAATAAATATAAAAATTTAATATTATTTACACAAACTTTAAATCATATTTTGATCAATAAATAATGATGGAAAAATATATTTTTGCGTAATCATGCAAATAATTATTGTTCGATTAGATTTTCTTGTTTTTATTTAAAATTTAAACCCATCCTTAATAATTCTAATCAAAAGTTATCAATTGCATTGATTTAGAATCAAAATTTTTTCAGGTATTTAAAATAAAGTAAATAAAAAAAAAATCAAGGTCCATTTTAATCACTTTTGTAATCTCGATCAAACGCAAGACAGTCCATCATAACAAGTTTTAAGTCAATTTAATTTTATATTTTCTACAAATAAGATAAATATTTAAGCCATAATAAATAAAAGATTTATAAATCGATATCATATCTATATATCACATTAGAATTTAATTTTCTTTTTACTTTTAAATTATAAAAACAGTTTTTAAATGATGTTCACACTTCCTGAAAAAAAAAAAAAAAAAAAAAAAAAAAAAAAAAAAAAAAAAACCTTATCGCGAATCAACCAAACTAGATTTTTTATACTTATTTTTTTTCGAACTTTCAACTCTTATATTTTCAACAAAGTACGGATGTTTTAAAAAAGATATTTACCCGAACATGATGATAGTTTTTATTCTGAAGAGATGTTCACCAGTAAGAACTTCAACTTTAACTACTTGCTAAGAATGCACAAGACTTCTTTTATATATTTCTTAACTATATATACAATGATAATCTTGCGACGATTTTTCCTCATCCATCGCAAGCTCACCGCATCATTATGATTATGACGTACGTTCATTAATAATTATGAATAATTATACAATTTACTATTTATTTTTACGTAATCATTATCCTGATAACAAAAAATATTTATAATTAAACAATGCATTTTAACTATATATTACTCACTATTATCACAATATTTCTTCGTAAGGTAAAAACTTTTACTCTCATTAAAATATCATTTCTTCTTTATAATAAACTTTGATGAGTAAGTTCTCGTAACTAAAGCACTAGTCCGTAGAATTTAAAGCTAAAATTAAAAGATGGTTTGAAAAACTTTTTTCTTCTTATTTTCTCAATTTTTGACTTCTTTTTTTTTTTTATAAAACTTTATGAATATCAATTTTTCGGACCAGATATTTAATTTTTAGCTTGATTAATTTTTCCATTTCTTCACTTTTAATAAGGGCTTAAAATCAATAATTAATTGTTTTGTCTTCTTAAAAACAGTTTTAAAAGAATTTTTTATTTATTTAATTAAGCTTCCTTGAAAATTTTATATATACAACCATCCTTTGAACTAAAATAAGCTTAGAATTTAAAACTATCACTTGGTCGGTAATGAAAATTTTTCAATCTGTCACATTCAGAGCAAATTCAGCAGTTAACAGTTGGCGGGAAAAACTTTCGTTGTGTATAGTTTTGTCGCTTGGAGTTTATAACCTATACTAACTTACAAAAAAACTTGTCGATTCACTGAATAAAATTCAGTGCTTTCATTCAAATGTTTTAAATTAAATATTATAAAAAATAAATAATAAAAATGCACGCATTTTTAAAAACTGGTAAGTTGGGACCAGGAGATATAAAAAAACCCACAACTTCTAAGTCTAAGGAAGGAAAAGCCGGCCCAGCACCTCCATGGGTTGAAAAATAGTAAGCATTCATCCATAAAATTATTTCAATTATTAATAATAATACTAAAGTTAGCCGACATTGTTAATTTTTTTTTTTTTAATTATTAAATTAGAACTAAATAATATTTTTAAAAAATTGCACTTGTAGTTTTTATAGTTTTTTAAAAATGAATTTTTTTCTAAATTTTTTTGTAATAATTTTTTTAATAAAAAAAATTCTAAAAATTGTTAGATGTCGGGTAACTTAATTTTTTTTTAATTTATTAACAAACTTCTTAAAATGAATTAATGACAAAAAATTTTGTATTTAGCCGCCCAAGAACCGTCGAGGACGTCGTCGAGCAAAATGAAGTAGTGGAAGTACTGCGACAAAGTATGTCCGGAGGTGACTTTCCAAATCTTCTATTTTATGGACCACCTGGTACTGGTAAGACAAGTACAATTCTCGCAGCTGCTAGACAACTGTTTGGAAATATTTATAAAGACCGTATTTTGGAACTTAATGCTTCGGATGAACGTGGAATCCAAATTATCAGAGATAAGGTCAAATCATTTTCGCAACTAACAGCATCTGCCACTCGACCAGAGTACGTTTTTTTAATTACGACTAACAATTTATTTAAAAAAAAAAAAAAAATACTAATGATGATTAAGTAAAAGGTTTGAGTTCTACGGTGATGCAGATTTTAAATTTTGTTGGTCATAGCCTCGTTGTTACTCAGAGGTATTAATTTAGAGATTTAATATGTTTATTACCAACGAGACAGTAAAATTGCTTTTAATTTCTAATACCAAGATGTAGAGAACTAGTGTTTGGTTTTTTAACAGCAAATAAAATACTTTAAGTATTTTTGACACCTGAAAGGTGTCTAGCTATCCCGACAAAATTAAGACCTGTAATCTAACTAGTTCATAAGAAAACAACTTTATTCTGAAGTTCTAAAATATAAAAAAATTTTATTAGGTTTCCTGATGATTTATTTAATTATTAATAACAACAAACGATTATTTTTAGCGGAACTCCTTGCCCACCTTTCAAAATCATCATACTAGACGAGGCAGACAGTATGACGGATGCAGCGCAATCAGCACTGCGTCGTACAATGGAGAAGGAATCCCACAGCACTCGGTTCTGCTTAATTTGTAATTACGTATCTCGCATCATCGGGCCTCTGACTTCCCGTTGCACCAAGTTCCGGTTCAAACCGCTTGGTCAGGAAAAAATAATAGAGCGATTAGAGCACATTTGCAAGGAAGAGAATCTAGTTACTGATAAGTACGTACTAACGAAGTTGGTTGATGCGTCAGGAGGAGACTTGCGTAAAGCAATCACTTCTCTGCAATCTGTTACGAGACTCAAAGGAAAAGACGTTGAGATAACTGTTGATGACGTTGTTGAAGTTACCGGGGTAAGTTAATATTCAGTATTTCTATTTTTATAATCATACATTATTCATTATTAATTATTTTTATTTAATTGATTGTTAATAGGTAGTACCAGATAGATGGCTGAACAGATTGCTGGAAGTCTCCCAAGGAAAAGATTTTAGTAAAGTTGAGGATTTTGTTGATGAATTTTTGCTGGAAGCTTATTCTACTTCTCAGCTTATTGAACAGCTAAATGATAGAATAATTGTATCGGATGATTTTTCTGATAAACAAAAAGCAGTAATTGGAGAAAGACTTGCTGTAAGTAGTGTAATTTTATAAAAATGTGGTCTGCAAATTTCTTTATTTAATTAATTTAATTTAGTTGATTAAAATAACAATAATTAATTTCAATTAAAAAATTTTTAGCAATGCGCGTACAGATTACTTGAAGGTGGAAGTGAATATATACAACTTATAAATTTATGCTGTGTTATTATGCAAGCTAATCAACGGCGTTGATTCATCTGGTCAGTGATAATTATTTATATATCTTGTTTCCTGTAAAAATATTTTTAAATAAAACGGGTAACTCATTTTTTTTTTTTTTTTTTTTTTTTTTTTTTTCTCTAATTTCCAAGTGTCTAGACTTTTTACTTATCTTTTTTTATCACCAATCTAATTACGGATTTTTTTATAGCACTCCAAATGCATAAACAAAATAAAAAAAATTTTTAATTATATATAAATCATTTATTCAATAAATTTTACATTGATTGAAGGAAGTTTAAAAATTGATTGATTTAATAAACTAAATAATAATTGTCTAATCAATAATAAGTAATGATTTCAAAACTATAAATTAATTTAAATAATAAATTTCATTAGGATTGCTCCTACCTAATTGAAGGTGGCAGTGAATATATACAATTGATAAATTAATGATACATTTCGCAAACTAATAGGCTACCATGATTTTTTTAAATCATTAATAATAATTAATATAATTATAATAATAATGACAATGATAATAATTTATATCTTAGTTGTGATAGTTGTAAAAATATTAAATAAGGCAAGTCGCCGAATTTCATTTTAAATCTTAATATTTCTACGATAATTGAAATAATAGCGAAATAATTATTTTCTATTGGTTTCTATCTACTTAATCTTGAAAATAGATGAAACTTGGTGACCTATTTAAATATACTGCGGATAAATAATAAAATTTACATAGTTCATAATTTTTACATTAATTGTCAGTGAACATAGTAAAACGAATGATTTGACAAAATAAATGCCGTATACATATCTAATTACACAATCATATCAATACGGCGGTTGTTGATGCTGATAAGGATGTTGAGGTTGTTGATGTCTTTGTAAATGAGCGACCAATTGAGGTGTCTGTTGTTGACCTCCGTTACCTGTTTGTTGTTGAACTTGTTGCTGTTGTTGAACCTGTTGCTGCTGCATTGCCATTAGTTGTTGTTGTTGTCTTAAACGTGCCTGAAACATTAATTAATTTTATTTTATTTTAAACAACTTGTATCTCTCGTGAACTGTTGACATTTTTAAAGATATAAGCTCATCCCGATGTTACACTCATCGAGAGCTTTCATTTGAGTACCCACATCAATTTTTCATATATTTTATATATTTATATATTCCACAAATACCATATATATATATATATAAAATATATGAAAATTGGCATGTGGGTACTCAAATGAAAGCTCTCGATGAGTGTAACATCGGGATGAGTTTATATATTTAAAAACGTCAATAGTTAAAAAAGTACAGTGCAATTTAACAAAAGTCCATATTTAGTGTAATAGTTAAATATATCGAATACTCTAGCTCTGCCTAATTAATTAAAAAACATCGGTAATTAACAAACTAATTTTTAAAAACAACAAAAATAATTTACCTGATATTGAGGATTAGGCTGCATGGCTAGAGCAGAAGTGCCCACACCAACAGCTGTAGGTTTACCTCCAGCTTGTCTGTAAGGAGGAGCGGGCTGATTCTGAACTCCGCCACCCATCGGGCCCATAGTATTCATCGTAACATTAGGAGCTTGCAAATACGGTGGTCGAGGCCCAACACCGGCTTGCATTCTCTGCTGTTGCATGTAATCCTGATTCCTCTGAGCACCCATCATCTGCTGTTGATTCTGGAACATCATACTTTGCTGAGACATCATTCCCTGTTGCTGAACTTGTTGTTGTAGCATTTGTTGCTGCTGCTGTTGCTGTTGAACCTGCTGCTGGTTTTGCTGTTGTTGCTGAGCAGCTTGCTGCTGTTGCTGCTGTTGCTGCTGCTGCTGCTGCTGCTGCTGCTGCTGCTGCTGAGAAATCATCTGTTGTCCACCATAACCAGTATAATTTTGATTCATTCCCTGCTGCATCGCGTACATATTTTGCTGCTGGGACGTAAACATACTCTGTTGTGGATTCATTCCCGGGCCACCTTGCTGAGCTCTCAACTGATGCCTGACAAATTGGTTCCTCTGCATTCCTTGGAAAGCATTGGGTCCAGCTACAGGCGCAGCCGGTTGTTGCTGATTGCCCATAAACTGATTAGCAGGTAACCGCAAGCGCAGCATATTCGACAGCGCTTGTTTAGACGGATTTATACTCGGGCGTTCGTAGCGAGGACCACCAACCTGGGCTGGAGGTACCTGCTGACCATAACCGTACTGCTGAGGAGGTGCAGGACCCTGTTGATTCGGGTACCACTGCTGTTGAGGTTGTGGCGCCTGCCCAGGGAACATTCCCGGTTGCTGAGAAACTTGCGGTTGCTGATTAACGTAGGTCATCTGCTGCATCGGTGGCGGGCCAGGCTGCATTTGCTGAGTAACAGGAGCAGTGGGAGTCACTGATCCCTTGTTTCTTCGATGTCTTCGCGTGACTTTCATCGCTTTTCCTTTACCCGCGCCAATAGCAAGACCCGGTCCAACACTGCCAGGTCCTAATCTGCTCGGCGAGTCAACACTCATCGGAGTATCTGCTTTTCCTGGCTCGATTTCTTTCTTATCCGGCTCCAAATCCTCCGGAGGCAGTGGTGGTGGCTCCAAAAAGTGACTCGCTGGCCTCAATTGACTGTGATTATGATACCGCAGTAGTTTATGGGCATTCTGGTACGTCAAGGGCTTTCTTTCCATTTTTACAGCTCGGAACCAAGCCCAGGAAAGTGGAGCTGGATTTCTGTGTCCTTCCAATAACTCCCATGCAGTGATTTTCTGAGCGTCACCAACCTGAAGTCCTTGCTTTTTATCAATACTATCAAAACCCGCGATTTTATTCCCCTTGGTGTCCGTCAAGCAGCCAATGGGCTGACAAGTTATCACCTCCATTGTAAGTTTAGGCAAAGGCAATAATTGTCTTACGTATTGGATACTCGGAGAATTTTTTTCTCCAAGTTCTTTCTTGAGTTTTTTCATAAGATTCTGATAATGTTTCTTGTTCTCGTCCTTCTCTGACTGGGAATCTGATACCAGGGTGGAATGTATGAGCGTCGCAAGCATATCTATAACTGTAGTAAATAATTCCGAGTTATTATTCATATCAATGACTCCATGACACACCAATTGGACCAACAAAATAGCCCAGTCCGTAGTGACAGTAGTGTTTCTCTGTATCGTATCAAACACTCCGCCTACTAAACTAAACCTTAATTGTAAAGCATCCTGAAGTACTTCACGTGTCTTAGGATCTTCCAAAGCGACATTTTTTTCTTCCTTGCTTGTATTTAAAAATTGCGAAAGCTGAGAATGGAGAGAAGTAAGCAAACCTTCTCGTTGATCGTCTTGCCCTTTTAGACAGGTGAGAACGAGTGACAAAAACGGCTGATGATTGAACAGCGAAGGTGATTTAAGTCTTCCTCTCTCACGTCCAGCCGTTTTGGACCAATTTCCCGATTCCAGTACTTGTCCCGCTACCTTGAGAACTCTGCCTTGAACCGCACTTGATAATTTTGACACCAAAGGGGCGACCAACCAGATAGAGCCCGACCTTTTTTCAGTTTTATTAGTCAGAGTGTTCAACTGAAAAACGTCTATTGCAGCTTTAGCGACAATATCCAGCCACAGTGACAGATCACTAGACCCGGGAGTGAACTGCTTGTACATCAATTGAAGATCCAGCCAGGACATCCTCAAGCTCCACTGCTCCAAATTTTCTAATATATTCGTGATATGCGTTCGTTGGTCTAGAAGAGCATCCGGCGGAGTGTCTGGATAGCATATCATGTGAAGCAATCGCTGAGCTTGTCTGGCAGTCAGCATATTATCAAGCAGCATATCAGGGCAGCAAAGTTCTTCAGGGCTTTGCAAACATCTTTCTAAAACCCACTCTTGACTGCAAATTTGCCTGAGAACATGCTGGGCAAATTCTGAAAGCCCTTTAACGTTTTCTGACAACAGTCCGGCGCTGCTGTTGGACGAGGACATGGCTAAATCCAATCCTAGATCATCTCCACCACCTAGAATGTCACTGGTGCCTAAAATATGGCTTATAGACAATTCTCCAGCACTTCCACCGACACTTGCTGGACCGGTGCCTTTGCCTGAGTGTACTGTCGGTACATCTGGCTTCTTAGGCGGCTGTTTTCCAGCAGTAGCATCTCCAACAACCAGTATTGCTTTCAAAACCGCAAGAACTGGACCCACCGGGATGTTATTGTGCGCAGCAGCTAATAAATGACGATCACAGCTGAGTTTTATGCTGTAGCCTCGCTGATTTCCAGCAGGAATTGGATGCGGGCTTGTACTTACTGAGTACAAAGCTGGCTGAGGACACTCTACTGTTTTGAAGAGCCGAAGAAGCAAGTGAGACGTCAATCTTCCTCGGGATTCAGCTTCGGTGTCGCTGTCACCTCTGGAAGGATTGCAAGCGTGTACCAAAGACGGCAAGGCGATGAGTCGCACAAAGTCTTCAAGAGATAAACAATGCCGGGCTATCATTATTGAGGTGAAGACGGCGAGCGGGTTGTGGATGCTCAAGTCTTGGATGTTAACCTGATTCAGCAAGTCAATGTAAGACTGAAGCCCGTCTGTTAGCAAACAAAGACCAGCTAGAGCTCCCAGCCATTCTACAGTTAGTGCATTGCAGCATGCAGTGAGTTCTGCGCAAGTAATCGCGATGTCGTTTAATTTGTCATTGTCCGTTTCGTTGCAAACTGCGACGATAGCGTTGCACACAAAGCTGTATCTATTCGCTGGCGATTCGTTGAGAGATCTAGCCCACTGTGGCTCTATTTTACCTCCTCTTCGAGGGTTATTCAAGATTTCGACCATGTACTGAGGATTGTAAGGGTGATTTGACGTGATAAGCGTCTGATTGTTGTTGAACATCACGGCCTTTATTTTTGGGTAAGCGTTGCTGAATGCTTCCACACCGTGAGGTTTTATTTTAAGAAGAAAACAAGACGAGTAGAGGTCGTAAAGATGCGCGAGGATACAACGTTCAGCTGAACTGCAGTCACTTGGATTGGAGACGTGTTTCACCACCTTGCAGAGTAGATCAAACACTGATATTGTCTGATCAGGCGAGAGTAGAAGGCAGTAATGATATCTTCTGAGGACTCCAACGACGTAAAGGCTGAGACTGGTAGTGTAGCTTCTGACTAGTTGGCTGTTTCTTACAGCCAATTGAGTCTCGACCTCCGGAAGTTCTTTTAAAATTTGAATACACACGTCTATCAGTCCGTAAATATTAAGCGCAAGCTCCATTAGATCAAAGAGAAAAGCCACATGTTCTTGAACTGGAAGGTAAGAGCCGTTGATTGAAAAACCATTTAACATTTCTATAACTTGGGTCGCGCACTGCCAGGTTACAACGTGCTGATCAAAGTAACTGAGATTTTGAAATTTCTGGGTAACAGCTTCAAAATTAAACTCGTTTCGTGAATGCTTTTTAACTTTGCCACCCTCTGCTACGTCGATGCTAAATTTCTTCCCGAACAGCTTGCAAACTTCTTTAGTCATTTTCTTTACAACATGTCTCGCGTCGTCCCGAACGCGACCGACTCCATACAGCAGCACATGTCGTTGATTACAGTCATGCTGGCTAGAAGACTCGTCTTGCGGCAGAGGAAAGTGCGTGGTGTACAGAAGATGTCGACTGGGACTGGTTGGCGGTCTAGAATCAAGCCCTTCAGGACCGTGACCACCCAGGGCGTCATCTTTAGGACTATCTGGGGCATCCATGCTGTTTTGCTGATCCTCTTTGATGTGTTGGAGCAGCTTATCCAAGTCATCATCGATTTTACTGTCGTCGTAATCCATGGCTCTTCCATGATCTGGATCCAGCTTGGTTGGTTTCAAGTCAATGCCGGGAAATAAACTATCCTCGTCCATGGGCTCTCTGTTGCTCGGAGTACCTGGTTTGCTTGCAGCCGGACCCTGAATTAAATCCCCGCGGGATATTAATGTACACATATACGCGTCGTGAGAGAAAACATCGTGTCTAATGAGCTCAGAAAATAAATGCACAAGATTAGTAAACTGTGCTTTAGTTTGAGGAGTTGAGTTATCCTGAATTGGAGCATCAGTGTCGAGGAATTTCATCAACAAAGGTTGAAATATCGGAAGACTCGGCGGAGTACCATTGCTGCAGATGCTGTCTTTGTCATCGTTGTCATTACTCTCGCCGGTGACTTCAGCTTGTCGCTTTTCTAACAACTTAGCCACAGCCATCGCTCGATGCTCGCCCCAACGCTCGGCACTTACAGCCCATTGACACAAAATATCAACAACCGCGGAATCTTGTTGAGGTGTGTACTCAGTCTTGGATGCTTCTCTCTCATTTGTAGTTTCTTTTACCGGAGGGGTAAATATTTTAACGTAGAGAGTGTCCAGCGAATTATTAACATCCATTTTATCAAATTTATGACGATCTAAAGCGTCCAGGGCAGATAAAACTTTTGTTGTTGTCATTCCAGCGCTGCTTTGCTGCCATTTGTCGCAAGACCAACGACCTTCAGCAGCTTGTGACCTAGCTCTAATATTTTCCTGGGCAAGTTTTAATTTAGCCATCGTAGGATTCGCTGCGCTTGCTGGTGGACATGGTAACGCTGCTGGGGGACAAGGAAGATAATCCAAAGGAGAGCCATTTAATACAGAGGGAGATTTTCCTTCTCCGACGCTGTTCCAGACCAAGGCTGTTGGACACTCGAGCGTTATCACTTGAACTATGGCTGACAAGCAAAGTATCACGTCTTTATGATGAGGACAGTTTAGATAATCATTGAATGCTGCTGTCAGGGCATTTGATATTGGTTGAACGGTTGGCTGACTTGTAGAAGTTGCAGCTCCGCCTGTTGATGCAGTTGGTGCGGATGTTGTTGATGCTGGGACTTCTTTTCCATTTGTAAGCTCTACTTTTACTGTTGGTAAAACCGGTGGGCTTGCTGGGGTATTAATGTCGACGTTACTCAGCATTTGCGCTAATTTTCTACAACACAAGTACGCTAATCTTCTTGCTAATAATTCAGACTGGACAAATTCTTCAAGATATTGGAGCGCTAGTGGTAGCAACAGTTTCAATATTCCGTCGTCGGATGGATTAAACCGCATTTTATCTAATAATTCTAAAATCCATTGAAGCAATTCGTGTCTGTCTAATAAACCTTCTTCAAACATATATTTCGCTAATTGAATGCTGTAGTGCCACTGCTTCAAAGCTAACTTGTGCTCTTCAGTCATTGATACATTTGTGTGATTTGGCGTCAAAGCCAGTAGAGAATTCATTCCATTGATGTTATTATTACTGTTCATAATTGCTGAGTTGTTGGTTATAGAAGACGACGAGGGGTTGCATGTTCCGTTGATACCAGGAGTACTATGACCGCTGGCTTGATTACCTATGTGATAGTAGTCTTGGAGCTTTGATAACTGATCTCTTAAAAATTTTATCAAAGTACCCGTCCACTCTATAAAATAAAAAGCTATTCACAAAATTTATAAAAAATGAATTAACAGCAAGGTAAAAGTCCCAGTTATTGACACTTGCAATTTTATTTTAATTAAAAAAAACTAATTAACTCTAATAAATTTATAAATACTAGCAACCTTGCAGTCACTATGTGACTTCCGTGACTTGTGAACTATAAATAAAATTTTGCTTTATTAAATAATGACTTTTGTTAAATTGCACTGTACTTTTTTTAACTATTGACTTTTTTAAAGACATAAACTCATCCTGATGTTACACTCATCAAGACCTTTCATTTGAGTACCCACATGCATTTTTTTTATATATTTTTCATATATACATATATATATATATATAATATATAAATATAATGAAAATTGATGTGGTACTCAAATGAAAGGTCTTGATGAGTGTAACATCGGGATGAACTTATATTTTAAAAATTGTTAATAGTTCACAGATACAAGGTCATTCTTATTCTATTGTTTTGATATATTTTTCATATATACAATATATATAATATATAAAATATATGAAAAATTGATGTGGGTACTCAAATGAAAGGTCTTGATGAGTGTAACATCGGGATGAACTTATATTTTAAAAAATGTTAATAGTTCACAAGATACAAGGTCATTCTTATTCTATTGCTTATTCTCTTGGTAATATAAATGATTTTTGAATTATAAATTTTAAAAAAATTGGTTTTTTGAGATTTAATTTTTTTAATTAAAATAAAATTGCAAGTGTCAATAAGTGGGTCTTTTACATTATTTTATGAAATTACTTACCAGTCGTAGGATCAGGAAGCTGACGTTTCTTTATTTTATTTTCAGACACCGCAACAGTGTAAGCAGAACTTAACTTGATAAACCAAGCGGCTCTCAACATTGGAACTTGATACTCACAAAGCATAATAAATATTTCTTCCTTTTTGTTGAAATTAGGAGCTTTCTTCGCCAGAGCAACCAGAGGCTTACACCCAGAGAGATCTTTGAACCAAGCTTCTAAGGAGTTTCTACTCCTGGCAGTTACAAGCCAGAAGTTATCTTTAACGTTTACTAGCGGTTTTTTCTTAACACCGTCTGGCATCGTCGCTAGTTCTTCTTTTTTAGCCATTATCGCGTTAAAGTAAGCTCCGACTTTAGCTGATGTTACATTGCAATTTCTGGCGGTCCCGAATTCATCCGAGAGCTGGGGCATTGTCGCGAACCCATGTTTCACATTTATTGATGTCAGCTCATCTTCTTTTTGCTTGGGTTCCTGGGGGTAAACATCAGGTGGCCCGAGTCTGGGCCTTTTTAAAGGCCTCTTTTCATACAATATACCCATCATCGTATTTATGTTGTATGATTATCACCAGGAAATCTTTAGTTAAGTTATGTCAAATTTTTATTGAAGTTTTTGTGGTCTAAAACATTTTAAATAAATAAATTAATAATTCGTCAAATTAAAAAAAAAAAAAAAAAAAACAATTAATTAATATTAAAATTAATTTACCAGATATTTGATAATTTTAAAAATATTTTTAACAAATAAATTATGGCAAAAAAAATTGACATCTAAAAATTAAAAATCCAATTTTTTAAAAATGATTTTTTGGACCAAATTTGTTTGTTAAAAAAAAATTAAAAAATTGTCAAGTGACTGCTAATTTTAATGAAAATTAATTAATTAATCAGCGCATTCGATTTTTTTTTTCGCAATTTTTAAATAATATTTATAAATCAAAAACAATAAATTTATATTGTATATATATATATTTTTTTTTGTATAATTGAGTGAATAAATATTTATAAATAAATATTTTTGACGTCTATGAAAAATATAACCTGTGAATAATAATTAGATGAGTGAAAAAAATTCGAAATGCGGACTTAAAAATAAAATTACATAAAAAATGAAATCAATAAATAATTCTTACCATATGCATTTTAATAAAAAAACATCAAGTAATACACATGAAGCCTATTTTTTTGATGTAACGGGATCTAAAATAATGTTAAAACTTCAAAAATCACCATCACCAACATCAATGCCATAGTTGATAAATCAACTCCCCACACATCTGTCCCTTACGTGTCGTCATAGCTCCTCTGACGAGTTCGTTTGCTGGTGGTTGAGGTCGCTTTAAGCGCTCATTGGCAATTGGTTACTTTGGTGCCTTGATACAAATAAAGCCGGGTTATCGTGGTTACTCATGTCGCTAATTTCTCTACTCTGCATATTCTAAGATAAGTTTACATTCGTCTTTCAAAACAATTAGAACGTTCACTGCATTATGATAATTTTCTCAATATTGTGACAATTAATTTTTTAAATTAACGATGGCATTCCGGAGGCTATTGTGCTTGAACGAGACAGCTGGTAAAAGGTAAATATTTTTATTTGACGTTTATAATTATAAGAGAAATTTTATATTAAGGTTATGATTGCATCATACTTACTGTTATTTATTTTTTCAGCTTATTTAATAATGTTTCTTGTCAGAAAATTATTTTGGAAGTTCCTAATTCATTTAAAAGTATTCGGAGTTTCAAAAGACTGAGAGATACTAATGATATTGTTCATAAGTCTGAGTTGACAGTCAAAAATTTATGGAAACCTCTCGGTTTTACAATACTTGTAAGTGCTAATTTTTTTTTAATTTATCGAGTTAGATAATAATATTAATTTATTTATTTATTTATTTATTTAATTATTTCAAAAGAACTTCAATTGGTAGAATACATTAATAGTAACAATAATAATACTGAAGTTAGCCGTCAGCTGTTCATTTAAAAAATTTTTTTAACAAACCAATTACAATAATAAAATGCTTCTAAAAATTTTTACTAATAATTTTTATTAATTTTCACATGTGGAACTTTTAAAATTTTTTTTCAAATAATTTAATTGCCATAAAATTTTTAATGTCTGTCAACTTTAGTGTCATTAACAATAATATATTTTAAATAATATTTAAATTTAATATAAATATAAATAATAAAAATTTAGTTGAATAATATTGTCCAATTGTTTAGTTTGGAAGTGCAGCTCATCTTGGAGCAGCAATATGGGAATATGAAAAAATTCGGAGTTATAAATTTAATTCCATGAAAAAAAATAATATCAATGAAAAAATAAGAAGCTATCTGCAGTCAGAAGAAGTTGTAAGTATGAATATTAATTTTTAAATCAAAAATATTTTATTCAAATATATATTGTCCTTTTCAGCAAACGTGGAGAGGAAAAGCACAATCATGGTGGCGAAATTTATCCAACGGTGAACGGATCTTTGTACCAATTTGTTACCTCAACGTAATGGTATTCTTAGCATGGAGGGTACCCGCGTTCAGAGCAACGATGACCAAGTATTTTTGCGCTAACCCAGCTTCTAGTGAGTGAAGAAAAATAAAAAAAAAAAAAAATAATATTCTTGAAACAAGCTGGACTAAATTTATACAAGAATATTAAATAATTTTTAAAGTGGAATTTTATTTAAACTAAAGGTGCGATCTGTTGGCCGATGGTTCTTTCAACGTTCTCACATCACTCGTTGCTGCATTTGGGTACCAATATGTATGTATTGCACAGCTTTAGCACAGCTGCCGTTGGTACACTCGGGACTGAGCAGTTTGTAGCGCTTTACTTAACCAGTGGAGTGTTGTCCAGCTTTGCGAGTCACCTTTTCAAAGTTGTATTTCAACGACCGGGATTGTCTCTCGGCGCAGTAAGCAATATATTTTATTTAAACGGTGGTACTGTAATTAGGATTGTTATTTTACAATTGATTATTTATACATAAATTTTAGTCTGGCGCAATCTTGGGAGTCGTTGCATTTATATGTGCTCAGTATCCCGACACACGATTAGGAATCGCATTTCTTCCTATGATTACATTTACAGCAGGAAATGTAAGTAAAAAATTGTATTGAATTTATTCTAATTAATTTTTTTTTTTAATTTTACTAATGAGATTTATGATAGGCAATTAAAGGATTGTTAGCGTTCGATGTGATTGGATGTGTTATGAGGTGGCGTTTTCTTGATCACGCTGCTCATTTAGGCGGAGCTATGTGGGGCTTGTATGTCATTTTATTATAAATTTTTTTTAATAAGTAAAATGATCTTTAAATTAATTAATTTTTTTTCTGTTCAGATACTGGCAAATGTGGGGAAATACACAAATTTGGCAAAACCGGAAATCTTTTTTAAACTTATGGCACAGTTTTCGTGACCCTCCACGATCTCATAGATCAAAATAAAATATCAAAAGCTTCTATATTTATCCTACATTAGCAGAATTTGATTTTTTTAAACAATAACTAATATTACTCTTATAAATACACTTCTATTTTTATTGACTGTACAAATTAATTTAGATAAAAACTATTATCAAATTTTTATTGAAATTACATATTTTGAAAAAAAAAAAAAATTAGAATAAATTCACAGAAATATTGAATGTTGTAATTATTTTATTAATATAAAATATAATAAAAAATGAGTGTTACTAATGAGTGTTGTTCTAATTCTTAAGATACTTAACGTGATGTTTAATATGATCCTCAATAAATGTAGCGATGAAAAAAAAACTGTGATCATAGCCTTCTTGAGATCTCAGTGTTAACATTAAGTTAGCATTTGCCGCGCCAGGAACCAAATTTTCTGGCAATAATTGTTTCATGAAATTATCATCTTTTCCTTGGTCAATAAGAATGTCCAACGGTGGCCCGGAATATTTTTTAGCCAAGTGTGTAGCGTCATACTCTTTCCACAGGTCCAAATGTTCGTTTTTATCACCCAAGTATCCTGAAAATGCTTTTTTACCCCAGTCACATTCAATAGGATTGCAAATGGGCGCAAAAGCTGAGACTGTTTTGTAGAACCCTGGATTTTTAAAAGCACAAATCAAAGCTCCGTGACCTCCCATGCTGTAAAATAACATAATATTTAAATGAATTATTAATTATTAAAGAAATAATTACATACCTATGGCCCATAATAGATTGCTGACCAGCAATCACCGGAAATTTATGATTGATTAGAGTCGGTAGTTCTTTAGTGATATAACTGTACATCCTAAAGTGATTTTTCCACGGATCTTGAATCGCATCTACGTAAAATCCAGCTCCCATACCAAAGTCATACTCTGGATCATCGGGAATACACTCTCCACGTGGGCTAGTATCAGGAATAACAAGAATAACTCCATGTTCTGATGCGTAACGCTGAGCTCCAGCTTTCTGAATAAAATTAGCTTCAGTACAAGTCAACCCTGACAGCCAATAAATCACCGGCACTGGTTCTAACTCCGCTTGTGGTGGCAAGTATACTCCGAAATTCATTTTGCATTTCAACTCAACACTATAAAACATATTAATTATTTTTATATATTTTATTTCACACTGATAATCTATCATCATGAATAAATCATGAAAATAAACTTAGCCGACATCTAAAAATTTTTTTTATTAAAGAATTATTACAAAAAAATTTTTTCATTAGTTAAAAACTTCAAAAACTATAAGTACAATTTAAAAAAAAATATTTTTTAATTATAATTTAATAAATTAAGCAAAATAAAAAAATCAAAAATTTCGGTTAACTTTAATATTAAGTATAATAAATCATGAAAATTAAGTTAACCGACATCTAAAAATTTTTATATTAAAAAAATAATTTCATCTGTAAAAAATTTGAAAAACTACACGTGCAATTTTTAAAAAATATTTTGTAGTACTAATTAAATAATTAGTACATAATAAATCTCACCTTTGATGAGAGAATACTTTTTGCCATCCTCCAAAACACTTGTTGTTTGATACTTCAACAATATCCGGCATCTGTACATCAGGTTATAATAATGAAATAAAAATTACAAAAACATTACATGTATATCGATAAATATTATTTATTCTCACCATGATTGATGAATTAAATCTTGATACACTTTCAAGATATTTCAATACGTGGAAGTCTTTAATAAAAGACTTTAAAGATAGACTTATGTACTTACAGTATAAACGACACTTCTCTGTGCTATGAAAAATATTCCACTACATACTATGAAATCTACTAAGAACTGTCACGTGACATTGACGTATCAATTGCATAATGATAAATAACATAAAAAATGTATTTATACATTTATATATTTAAAAGATATGATAGTACGAATATTTTTTTATGTTAATTTAAATCTTCAATTCAAAATAAAACTAACAAACATATTTATTGACTTATGCGTAAAAAAAATTTTATAAATGTTTCCGTTTAAAAACGAATTAAAAATATACTTGTAGTTTTAATCGAATGATGTAAACATTACAAGTAATCAATAAGTAGTAAACAAAAATTACCCACGTGGTTTTTCTTACTACCTTTCTGACACTTTATGCAATAAAAACAGAAATAAATTTATATTAATAACGCATTAAGCTCATTTTAAATAATAAAATTTTATACGTACTTATGTATGTATTATATATATATGTATAAGAACTCAGTAGACATATATTAGATAAATATATTAGCGGCGGGAGATGTAATATTTATAAGCTTCAAATAAAATTGATGCATATCTGTAAAAGAATTTTTTTGAAATGAAAAATGATAAATTTAATGATTAATTTTATAAATATTATTACAGATGAATAATTACCAGATATGTTTTTTTTTTTATAAAAAAAAAGTAAGTCGCATTTAGAGATATGTGAGGGTAATGTGCAGTGAAAATGTATTGAAAAGATAAAAAATAATATAAGTTGAGTATAAAGTGAGACCGCGATATTCTCAGTTCACTTTATTTTTACCCCACTCTTAATTTCGCCCCGGTTTAGTCAGCTTCTATATAAATGCTTGCATCTTATCAGCTAGCTTACAGCTTACAGTGCACATTCAGCATTATTATTACTCAAGTTATTTAACGCTGTTGACAATATTTAAAAATTAAACAACCAGTAGCTCTCTTTAACTCAACTGACCAGGATAAGGATGACTTACTAATAAGTGTTTTGTGAATTTAAATTTAAATTTGTAAGCTGTGATTCGCATCAGTTTTAAAATAATCATAAGAATTATTATTATTCTTACAAAGATATTTTGGTAAGAAACTCAAACAGCTCTTTAAATTACGTATCATTTGTACATATCACATAAAAGTCTTGTTTTTACTTTAAAAATAGTCATTAGTCAGTTTCTGTATTTTTTTCTTCAGCTACATATGTCTTTGTATGTTTTACTCTTATTGGTCACTTTACCCTTAAAATTAAATTGCTTCAAAGCAATTAAAATTAAATTTTTTGATCATCTATTTTATCACAACTCACCAAATACTTTTTATTCCCTCAGGTGTTCTCTTCAAAGTTTGTCTAATAAGTCAACCGTGTATTTTATTTTTCTATTGTTAAATAAAAATAATAACAATGTCAGCATCACCAATCGCACGCCAAGTAACTCAAAATCAAAATATACCTTCTAAAAGAATTGTTATTTCTGACCCGAATCAATTACCAGTTGATTACTCATCAACTCCAGGAGGTACTTTGTATTCAACAACACCAGGAGGTTTGTATTAATATCGAAACTTTTAAATAACTCAAATGAAAATGATACTGAAGTTAACAGACGTCTAAAAATTTTTGATTTCTTTTTTTTTTATTAAATTACAACTAAAAAGATATTTCTAAAAAATTGCACTGATAGTTTTTCAAGTTTTTTACATGTGAAATTTTTTTTTTTAATTGTTCAATTGAAATTTTTTAAATAAAAAATTTCTAAAAATTTTGAAATGTCAGCTAACTTCATTTTCATAAATAATAATATTAAATTATTTGTATTGATCTCAAGCCTAACGACCTCTGGCTCAATGTTATTGATTGTTCGGTAAATAGAGAACATTATTGTTTTTTTGGCGTAATAAAACGACCTCCAATTAGTAGTTATTCTCGTGTTGATCAAAACATCAGCTGACCAGAGATTAACTCACGTGTTTTTTGAATTACCACTTTATTTATTACCAGATCATTGCGTATAAATAATGGCTATTATTTATAGCAACTATTAATTAATGACATACACTGTTGATAAAAAATAAAAACAATTAATAAACTCAGGCTTATTATGCATAGAGTATACTTTTTATTATCTTACCGCTGGTTATTGTTTTTCCAATTGTTTTTTTACTCTTGTAATTATTTCAACGATGAGTCACAACTTTTATCGCCAAGCAGTTTACGATACTAATGTTAAATGACAGAAAATCTACGTTTTACTTTTTACATAGTTATATATTATCTGAATATTTATTAATACTTCTCAAGTACTCTTTGTTTTCTTGCTTTTCTTTTATAACTTTCTTCGTTCTGTTTATAAATAGAATCAATGTACATAGCTTTTATTTTGATCAAGTCAATTTTAAATGACATTAAAGTTAGCAGTCGCTTGACAATTTTTTAATAAATAAATTTGCTCCGAAAAATTATTTCTAAAAAATTAGATTTTTTATTTTTTTTTCTCATTTTCTTTGACATAGTTTATTTGTTAAAAAAATTATAAAATGTCTGCTAAATTAATTTTCATCAATTTTAAATGACTATTTTATTTGTTTACTTACTTAATTTATAATAATGAAATAAAAATTGTTCTTATTGTTATTATTACAGGTACACGAATCGTGTACGAACGGGCTTTTTTAATGAATTTAAGAAACTCACCGATATCAAAAACTCCTCCAAGTGCTACATCAATCCCAGCAGATTTATTAAAAGGATTTCCAACAATTCCTACGACTAATGTGCCTGTTTGCAATAAACCAACCAAAGGTAATTTTATTTTGTAAAAATTTTAAACTGAAAAAAATGTTAAAATTAAAATTCCAGATCAAAGGTGTGTTAAGTTAGACACTAAATAATGTTTAGTTGCTAAATAGAAGTTGATACAAGTGTTCCGCAATTATTTCCATTCTTTTGATATTTAAATTTCTATATAATATTAAAAATTATTTCTATTTATTCATTTGCTCTTATTAAATGTTCAATTTTGATAAATTAATTACTTTTAATATTAATAATTAATAATTTTTTTTTTCTTCTTTAGAAATCACAGTAATTGAAGAAGTCTCTGAGCAGTTCCAAATGGATATGTAAAGCAATGATCTGTAAAAGTGAGAGCTGTGATTAAGACGTGTTCATTTGTGGTATATTTTTTTCATTGTCAATCATTAAAATTAATGTTTATTAAGTTTATATTAAGAAAGTAATTAGTTGCCATGAATAACTTTTATATGAATTTAATTAAAAATTTTTTGTAAAATGTTCATGAGTTCATTGTAACTAAACAATAAAAATTTTTTAAATAGGAAAATATTTCCTTATATAAAATACATTAAAATAATACTAAAGTTAGCGGACGTTTTTAATATTTTTTATTTATTAAATTGGAACAAAAAAATATTTAAAAAAAATTGTTTTTTACAAAAATTAAATTTTTTTTTTAATAAAAAAAAAAATTTTAAATGTCGGCTAACTTAATTTTCATTAAACTAAGTACAAAATAAAATAATTACAAATAGATCATATCGTATGACTTATTCTCTGGAATCAAGTTCATCAACCTGTAAAATAAAATAGATAAAATATAATCCAGACTTATTTTTTAACTATAAAAATTATTTCCTACAAAAATTCAAAGAAGATATCGATTTTTTTTTCATTTATAAAAACAACTCCTATCTTTGGTAAGTACATCAACACATTTCACTGTACATAATAACCAGTAGAGTAAAGTAATGAATATGTATCAATGTGACAAGCTGTGACACATGTGCTATTGCGCTATTGCATTTGAATATAAACAACATCTGTGACGGAAACACCCGAGCGGTTACGAAAAAACCCGAATGCACTGAGAGTTATTATTTTAGCGGGAACTTATACACCTTACAATTACAATTAATCACTTGTTGAGAGAGCTAAAAAACTTTTATGTAGAAGTAAGCTATCGTTAAGAAGAATATTTAACAGAAGAAATAAAATTTTTAATTTAGTAATTTTATAAGAGAATAAAAAGGAAATTTTAGTACAGTTAGTGTCTTTAAAAAAGGAGCTTGGGGATTAAGAGTATAGTTTAGTAAAAAAAGGGTGCGCACTACATGCTGCAAGTGCAGACTGGTTTCAACTTGTACTGCTTGCTTGGTGATATATGTGTGTGTTCATGAGTGTATATATATATACAAAATATTATATAGTTACATTACGTACAGAGGTGGGCTACGAGAACGAGACACAGCTGGCAAGGAATCGTGAAAACAACAAGGCTGACGCCATCGTCGGTGGACTAGGCATATCCACGATCGATAAAACCCGGAGACGCGAGTACGAGTCAACGCGATACGAGTTATAATCAGAGAGCTGAGTTAAAATTATTTAGCAGAAAAATAATAAATAATAATAGTAAGTGTATCAATTTATTAATGATAGGTAGCAGAAGGATAATCTTCTTTTATTGTTTTGTAGGCCGAGATTATATTTAATTGAGATTGACGGTGGACCCCAAGAGCAAAAGAACAGTTGTTGAACACGTGTGTCAAGTTTAGTTCACCATCTATCTACATATAATGGTCAAGTAGCTATGAGAAGAGAATTATTAAGAAGAAGAAGAATAGTTTAATTTAGCAAGTGCTGAAGAAATATATTATTGTCACCAAGTTATATTTTACGGTGTGATTATGTTTAATTATATTAATAAAAGGTGAAGAATTAAAAAGTATATATTTATGTTTGGTAGAAATCGCGGGAGGATCATTAGAGGTTGATTAGCGCCATGTCTCGTAATGGACCAATCAGCTGCTTGGTGAACCGCCGTGAAATCACAAATCTGTCTACAGACGAATGACAACAAAAGAGATTGATAGTGCTGTGAGATCAAGTGAGTGAGAAAGACACGTTGGTAACAGACATATATATATATATATATATATAATACATATATATATATATATATATAAATATAAAGTGTGAAAGAAAGAGTAGTTGAATAATTATATTGTATAATAAGAAGACGAACATTACATCGAACACTTGATATATTTTACAAGTGGTAAAGTTTTATAATACTTAAGATATATACATGTTTTTTTTTCTAGTTACATTATTATTATTATTATTGTAGTAATTATTATTATTATTATTATTATTATTATTATTACTACTACTATTATTAATTGTTTTTCCCCACTACTGTATCATCCGAACGTTGTGTTAACCGCCGCCGTTGTGATAGAACGTCGTGGTAGTTTGTTAAAGTGTGTTGAGGAATATGAAGAGAAGAAATGCCGAGTGCGGCAAGCTCCGGAGGCCCTTGAAACGCAATAAGATCACCGAAGGAATTTATGGAAGGTATATATTACTTATTTGGCTCGCCATATGTGTACATCATAATGGCCGCTGCTTAAAATAACCAAAAAGTATATCAAACTTGTATTATTTACCACGCGGAATAATTCATTAAATTACTGTTTTATTAATTTGATAGTTTATGTGTGAAAATATTTTTTATTAATTGATGCAATTGATGAATGACAACAATTGGTAGCTGATAATTATGAGATTTAGATATTGCAAAGTAATATGATCACCTAGCCAATCATCTCGCTGTGTTGATACTTGCATCACTTGTGCTTTTGACGTTTCCGCGTTAAACGTTTTTTTTACGATCTACTATATGTTATTATTACGTTCATTATCATAATAGCTACTGTTGCTATGTTTATTATTACTGTTATTATTGCTGTCAGTTACGAGCTATCAAGTTAAAAATTTATTTGATAACAATTGATTGTTATATGTTGTGTTAATTGTAATACACACTTATTTACTTGATTTCATTGATAAAATATATACGTAGTATTTTATAGTCTTAACAATTACTTTTATTTGTAAAAAAATTAAAAAACTGTGAGTGCAATTTTTAAAAAATATTTTTTTGCTCTAATTTAATTATTAAAAAAAAATTAAAAACGTCGGCAACTTTACTATTATTAATTTTTTTTAATATTGCTGCATTTTTTTATACTTTAATTTCAAGTATTTTTTCTTATAAATATTTATATTCAAGTATTTTCTATTCATAAATCAAATTTTTCATCAATTTGGCAGGCAAACTTTTTTTTTAATAAGAAAAATTAATGTTAGTTAATTATAATTATTGTAATAATACAGTGTTTTTTTTTTTTTTTTTTTTTTTTTTTTTTATAACAGTAATCAATTGTTTTGTTTGTTGTATTTTCACAGCACACTGCTCTACCTAAAGTTTCTGTTACTATGGGCCATGGTGATTTTCGCGGACTTCATATTAGAGTTTCGATTTGAATTTTTGTGGCCATTCTGGCTGCTACTCAGAAGTGTTTACGATTCTTTTAAATACCAAGGCTTGGTAAGTTGATCTTTTAATAGATTTTTCTTCTAAAGTCATTGGCTGACCCAACTGTTAACTTTGTCTATTCGCAGCCTACATTGAGTAGTATAACGTTCTTTTAACGTTTAAGATCGTAGATAAATATAACAACTAAATAACTGTGTACAAATTGTTATTATTGGGTCAGTGCAATGCCCTCGTTAATTCATTTCAAATAAATGATGATAGATTTAGTAAAATAGTCATTAATTGCTTATTAATGGATTGTTCACAGGCGTTCTCCGTTTTTTTCATTTGTATTGCTCTAACATCAGATATGATTTGTTTTTTCTTCATACCTGTCCACTGGCTATTTTTCGCAGCCAGTACATATGTTTGGGTACAATACGTGTGGCACACAGGTAAATAATTATTTAATTTTATATATCATGTCAATGAGTGGATTAATTATTTATTAACGTACATAAATAAATAATATTGCAGATAAAGGAGTGTGCTTACCTACTGTGATGTTGTGGCTATTGTTTCTCTACATAGAGGCTGCAGTGCGATTGCGTGATCTACGCCACATGCCCTTTCATCTTGATCTTTGTAGGCCTTTTGCAGCACACTGGTGAGATTTTTTATTGATTATATTAATTAATATCATCATACTCATATTTAATAATACCTGTTTTGTTTAACAGCATTGGTTATCCTGTAGTTACCTTGGGTTTTGGTTTCAAAAGCTATGTAGGTTACAGAATGAGACAGGTAATAATAATAATAATAATAATATTATTATTAAGAGAGTAAGGTAAATTTAGTTAAAAGCCATACTTTGATGGTACACTGAGAAAAAAATATTCTTTTACTCAATTAATTATTTTTTGGTTCAAGAAATTCGATGACGATCAAATACTCTATTATTATTAATTATTAATTTCTGAAGAGAATCAATAATTATTTATTGAATTATAAATAAACAAGAGAATAGTTTTATTTAAATTAAGTAAAAATTATTTCAATCAATTTAATAAATTCTTGTATCAAGAAAATTTTCTTAATGAAAGTATTTTTTTTTTTCTCAGTGTAAAATTGATCGATGTAATTAAATTTAATATTATTAGAAATGTTTAAACTTGAATTTGTATCTTGAAGGTTTCAAAAATTTATTTATGATAATTTGTTTAATAATTGAGTTAATTTTAAATTTTACTTAATTTAGTAAAAAAATTTAATTTTTATTCATTAGTTTTGCGTACAATAAATAAAATTAAACAATTTGTTTTCTACAGAGAAAACAAAAAGATGTGGCGAAAGAAAATGAATTTTATCTACAGCTATTGCAACAAGCATTACCTGCAGAACAACAAGCCGTATCAACACAACTACAGTCACAGTTACAATCACAAATAGTAACGACAGAAACAAATTCAAAATCACAGCCGCACAGGCCACATACACAGTATAATCCCAGTCCAGAAAAAAGTAGAGGTAGTTTGTATTTATTTACAATTATAAAATCATTAGTAGTTATTGTTATTATTATTATTTTTATGAAGTATAAGCTAATTAATTAATCATGTCTTTATTATGATTTATTATTAGGGAATGGTGGTGGTTCTACAGACACAAGTGTACATAACGGCGGTATATCAAATGACGGTCACACGTCGCCTCAAGCACAAAATATATCTGCCAAAAATAGTAATAGAAAATTACTTGACAAAAGCGATAAGCTTGATGATCATAAACATAATTCAAATAATTCTTCACAGTCAGATAAAAATGACAAAAGATTTTCCCATAGTAATGGTACAACGGTATCGTATAATAACGATGTACATTTTATCGAACGGATAAATTCAGTTAATGATTTTGACGTAAATGAAGCGGAAAAAGATAAAACCGTTAAAGGTAGTAATTCATCTCACAATAATTCGATGAAAACACAATCAAACGGTTCAGCAACAGGCAAATGGAATAATAATAATAATAATAATAATAATAATAATAACAACAATAACAACAATAATAATGTTAAAGAGAATCGTGACTCGACGACGACAACGACAGTCCAACACACTCAACGTGAACGTAAAGGTCGTCAAAGTAAAAATATTATTCCAGACACAACAATAAGTGACCATCAAAAGCAACAAGACGAATATTGCCAGAGGGTAATTATTTGTCGTAAACTTGAGGCTGATGTAAAACGTTTAAAGTCGGATTTACAGTCGAGTCGACAAATAGAACAAGAATTACGTTCACAAGTAAATACTCTGCTCACTGGTGAGCGGCAAGCCAAAGGTGACATGCAACAGCTGCAGCATGATAATGATCAGCTGCAGAGTAAGCTCCAAGGGCTAGTTACCGCTCGTCAATTAGACAAACAGACAATGTCATCGCTCGAAAGACGAATCGCTGAAGAACGTCGACAACGTACAGCCTGCGAGGCGTCGCTGGTGTCTGAAAGACGAGCACGTCGGGTCGCTGAAGAGGCTAGGTCCGCAATTCCACCGCCTCCTCCGCCGCTTGTACGGCAGGAGTGTACGGATGCGTGTAAAACTCGACGAGCACAAATGGAGCAGGATCTCAAAAATTTAAGACGGGAACTAAAAGCGAAAGAAGAAAGGTAATTTATTTTTTTTGGTTTTATTTTAATTACAGTTATTTATATTCTTTTTATTTTTTCAGATTCTTATCGTTGGAAAAAGAAGTAACGCATTGTAAAGATAATCATGGTGAAACAGAAATTCTTCTCAGTGCGTTAAATGCTCTCCAAGAAAAGAACTCTCACCTGGAAAATAGCTTGAGCGCAGAAACACGGATAAAACTTGATCTATTTTCAGCGCTCGGCGAAGCCAAACGACAGCTTGAAATTAGAGAAAGTAAGTTTAGTTTTTTATTAAATAATTATCATAGTCTCTAATTATTGAAAATCATTGTCAGGAAATGTATAAATTTACCGTTTTTCGTAGAATACCGTTAAGAAATTTAATTGTTTAATCATCATTTAAGTTGTTGTTCATCATAAATTTTTATAATTTGAAATTTTTAAATGTTTAATTGAAAAGCATCAGCTAACTCAGAAAATTAATTATTAAAATTTAAATTCAGGTATGATGAGGTCCCACGAGAAAGAAATGGAAATTTTAAAAGCCAAAATTGCACAAGATTTGGCAGTGATGCCCCAAGACACATTCAGTCCAGCATCCAGCAATACAACGTCCAAGTTACGACTCAACAATGATGTACGTGTTGGTGGTTCTAAAATGCGTAGCACTGAAAGTCCGTGTCCAGGATGTACTGTGTCTAATCTCGATCCTAATGCAACGGCTTACACACCTAAAGGCTCGCTTGTAGCCTCCACCGAGGCTTAAATTATTTAACTTATTTCTTTCGCAATCGTGACACAGGGCGCAACAAATATGTAAGCTACTTTCGTTTATTGTTTCTCAGTGGTTATCACTTTTCTATTTTTTATTTTTATTTCTTATTGGAGTTTAAATTTTTAATGAAATACTAATTCTTTTATTTCATTAATTTTGTATAAAGATCTAAAAAATATCTTTAAACTTATTTTGTCTATAAGACGATAGACATTTTTGGTGAGAAAATTTATGTCAATTGGACATTACTTTTTTTTTTATTTTATATTCTAAAATCCTGAATTGTTACTTAAAAAAATTTAATTTTACATTTAGGAATTTTTTTTTTTTTTTTCCAAAAGTTTTTATTTATTGAATGTAGTTATTTTTTCTAAAATTTATTATTCATTCGTAAAATATCAATAAATTGTGCTAAAAAATGTCCAATGAATATGACAGTTTGATGAATTGGTAAATAATACAAAATTTATAAAACAACTTTCGGCGTAATACTAATTTTTGAATTTTTATCAATTAAAGTCGTACTCCGAAACTAGTCCAGCATACAAAGTGTACTGAATGTCATGAAAAACAACTGTTCGCACTTCCATCGTATAAATTCTCCATTACTTAACGGAATAACATTTTTAATTGAACAAAATATCAATACCATGATCATTTTAGCTACAACAAGTTACATAATAATTTTACATTAATTATCATTAACATCACAATATTATTTTACGCATTTACAAAATAATTTTTCAGATTATCATTTATCAGTCTAAAATTACGTTCATGTTCATTAAAAGAACTAATTGATATTTTTTTTTTTAAGAATTTAATTTTAATTAAAAAAAATTTCCAACTCAGTGATAATTAAAAGCATAGATGCGTTCCATATCTGTATATTTAGTCGTAATGATATGTTTTTGTTTAATTAAAATCCTGCATCGTGGCCGACTAGTCATTCATCAATCTCGAAACAGTCCTATAAGCACAAATAATAATAATAATAATAATAATAATAATAATAATAATAATAACTATAATAATGATGATTTTTATTATAATACATTACAGTACATTAAGTAAATAAGATACTTCTTAACAAATAATTAGGTTCATTTCTTCCCGTTAAATGTAAATGCTTCCTTTTTTAAAGCTATTAGTATCTATTCGGCCTCCAATATTGACAATGTCAAATATTATTTTATTATTAATTACTGACATTAAGATTTAAAAAAATTGTACGATTTGAAATACTGGATAATTGATAGTTTGTATTCTTGTCATCATAAAACAAACATTATGTTTTATCATTTATTATTGCGTATGAATAAAAATATCTATGATATTTTTAAATTGAACAAATGCAATGACTTATGTTACTATAAATATTATTATTATTATTATTATCATCATCATCATTGTAAATGGTTAAGCGCGTAAACGCAAAGGCATTTGCGTTCCAGTCACGTTTAACAATGTTCTTATTACAAATATTTTTTCTTTGTCATCGAGACACAAATTTATGATAAATAATGACAAAAAATAATTTTAGCAAGAACTGAACAGTTAAAAAATTAAACTTAATGAGAAAATAAATTAAGCGATGATAAACAATGTACCTGATCAGGAATGTGCTAGTTACGGCTGTTTCAATAAATAATTATTTTATTTCAGGTTTATTAAATATTCTTGAAGTATAATTTAAAATTATTATCATTAATTTTATTTTATTTTTGGTTGTGCGAATATATCAAAATACGCATGTACGCGAGTATTATTTTATCAAATTGTTTAAACGTTAAAGAAAATAAAAAAACAATGAAGGAATATACGCAATTGTGTATCAAGTGTGATATTGTTATAATAATAGTAAATATCTTTATCATCTTGTATAATTTAATTATAAAAAAGAAGAAAAAACTAAAAAAAAAGATTGTTACTTACTAAATTTTATGTGTGATAAATAATTAATTTTTTTTAACTTTAATTTCTCGATTTAAGTGTGCCAATAGCACGATTGGTAATATAAAAAAATAATAGTTAAATTGTTAATTGATATTATATTTAAATTAAATCAAAATTTTTTGGCATAAAGCTCATGACCAAATAAATAATTGTTTTTTCAGTGTTAATTTGAAATGATTGTCTAAAAATTCATATCTTATGCTCTTCCAATGTCTCATTGCGTACTTAAATAATAAAAGTAAATAAATTAGATTTAAGTAATTGCGGCTAAACATATGAAATAATTTATCATCGCCAACAATAACGACTTCTGCATATATGTAGATGACGTTGCATGACAAAATGGTCAATTAATTATTTAATTAATCAGTTTGTCCCAGTATTGATCTCACACTCGGTGGCTGGACACGCAAATGGTCTTAAAATTGACTACTTTATTGTACAACCTGTATTTGATAATGTTTAATGATAAAACTGAGAACATCAAAAAAAATATTTAAATAGTACATAATAATAATAATAATGATAATTATTATTATTGTGACTAAAGATCTGTCTACAAAAATAAGCGAGAAAATGAAAGCGAGAATGAGAGTGAAAGAAAGCGAGAAAGAAATAACGCGTCAGTATAATTTATATTATTTAAATTTATCATTTTCACCTCTGTATTCTCATTTATTTATTTTCATTTATTATTAAAAAATTTTTTCAACTATTCAGCACATATTATAATTTATTATCCTTATAAATAACTATTATTTCGTTGATTAATTTATTTTTACTTATTTCAGTACTGTTTTTTTTTTTTTAATTTTTATTTTTTCATCAAAAAATCCCAAATTAAGAAGAAGAAACTTGTGTAACGATCAAATAATCGATTGTGTAAATATTGTATCAAAAAGATAAATTTTCCTAAACATTTTAGTATGCAAATACTTGATAAAAAAATGATATAGCGCTCGACAAATAAATATTAAAAATAAAAAATGCGAGTTACTATTATTGAATTATAAGGCTCGCAAATGAAAAAAAAAAAAAAAAAAAAAAAAGTGAAAAAGTTAATTAAAAAAAAAATATCCTGATTAGTTTGTACCAATCTTTAATTATTGTGTACTGTGTATTACTTATGCAATATACATATTTATTAAAAGTAAATAAAAAGGTTCTAAGATTATTAATTAAGAAAAAGAACAATTAAAAATCTCTACTGTAGTTAAATTTAATTGTAATTAAATGTCATTTTTTTCGAGTTTTTATGTATAGTAACTAATTAATTAATTAATTAATTATTTTTCCTGCCGTTTTCTAACATGATAATTAGTTGCACATATCAACAGGATCTAAGTAATTATTTATATTATTGATATGTCGCTAATATATTAATAATTTTTAATAATTGTCAGATGTTTTTGATGAAAATAAATATTTAATTATACATGAGCAATAAATACGGCAAAACCTTTTTCAATACTTAAATTTGTTAAATAATGTGTAGTACAAAAAAAAAAAAACTATTTTTAAAATATTTCTAGATACACTCTTCGCTCACATCTGTGTCAATTCTTTTTACGTTCATTATATATATATAGAACAACGATTTAAAAATTTGTAGTGATTTATAAAAACAGTCATACTTTATTAACTTTTTTTTTTTATTGTACTCATTAAACCTTAAAAAAATATTCAGACTCTTTTTTTGGACCACTGAGTACTTTAAAATTACTTTTTAATAGTTTATATCACACTTACAATTTTTAATTACCCTTAATTAAAAATTTTATTAATTAACAGCAATTCGGAGCTTCTTTCCGAATTCTTTCCAATAAAATTTCTCCGATATTAACTCTCTTACCATCATCGTCATAATCTGAAATTAAAAATTAGTATTTAATTGCAATTATATATTTTTATTTAATTAATATAAATACCTTTAAAATAAACTAATTCACAAGTATCACGAGATTCAGCATTTTCATTCAACAAATCTTGAAGAGTTTTATAGAAGGCAGCAATTATCTGGTGTTGATAATTTTTATATGTATCTAATATAAAAAAAAAAATTATAAGTATAAATTATTTTAATTATTAAATCAACTAAAAAAATTACCGGTATGTTTATGAGCGTGTTGTAATACTTCATAAAACGTTAAAACTGGAGTTGCTCCTTCAACAACAATGTAAACAGGCTTACGTTTATTTCCTTCACCTCCAGGGTGTATTTTATAGACAGTATTACGATAAATACGTTTTTTAACGCCAGCTCGGTCTCGAACTTCATTCTCAAGACTCTAAAATCATGCTTAATTATTAATACTTGTTTTTAAAATTATACTTTTAATAATTATTAATTACCAACCGTCGTACTCTCCAGCCAATAGTTAGAGGCATCTTTAAGGTCTGGAGGAATATGTCCAGATTCTGGTATCAAGATAAAAAGTTTTTTTACAGGAATGGTTATTTGAACGTCCGATGTACTTTGATTACTTTCATAAACTTCCATCTTTGCACGTAGCCCTACAAAAAGTCAATGATTTATTTTTAATTTATTCTATAATTAATTAAAAATGAAACTAAAATTAGCCGACAGCGAAAAAATTTTATTTTTTAATTAAATTAGCAATAAAAAAATATTTTTAAAAAATTGCACGTATAGTTTTTCTAATTTTTTTGTAATAATTTTATTAATAAAAAAAATTCTGAAAATTGTCAGCCGTCTGGTAATTTTATTTTCATTAATTAAAAATATTACCTGGATTACTAGCACCATCGGAAGATAAAATAATTTTTAAATAACCATAATAATAATTATGCGCCATCCCAGTCCCATAATCAACTCCTTCATCTGCACTGGATGTGTAAATAGAGTTGAGTTTACACCGAAACTATTTAAATAAATAAAATAAATAATTTAATATTTAATGGTTTAATATTATCCAAGTCATCCTTACCAACCCAATACTTTGGCTCACAATAATAGACAATAAAATCATCAAAATATTTGACGTCGAATCCAAGGCACGAGTATAACTCAGAATATCACCTTTTCTTATAGCAAACATCTAGAATTACCAATTAAATTACCTTCCCCTTCCTAAAAAATTTAATAGAATTCAAGTACTTACCAAAATATATAAACAACAAAAAACGGAAAAGACTATTGAGGTAATATTAAATTCGAATGTATTAGTAAATATCTTCTTCACTTGATTGTCATGGTAAGTTTTTAAATATTCCAACTCTGCAAGAAAACTTATCATACGTAGCATTAAAGATCCTAGGGTCAGCATAATAAAACATACAACAAAAGTTGTCACTGTAAAAAAATTATAATAATAATAATTATTATTGAAAAATTAGAAGAAAAAAAATTTCCAACTTACAGTTATCCATGAAAGCTTTTAGATAACTATCTTTATAAATCAGTCGTACGGAAACACCGATGATAATAATTGATACTGCAGTTGTCAACAAAATATAAACTGTCATCGAAGGTTGGTGAGGATATGTCAAAACATTCTCTTGCTTTTCATTCGTGTCATTTTTTTTTTCTTCCATTACCTGAAATATTAAAAAAGATTTTTTTAGTGACCTTGACTTACCTTACTAAAGACACTACGTGTATTTTTAAAACTATTACGGTAATAATATTAAGTAAATAAATAAAAACATGTGCTTTAATGTTACCTCCATCCTTAATTGAAATATTTTAGAAACAATTAACAATATATATAAAAATGTTGAGATATATTAATAACAATAAATTGTTATTTAAAAATTTTTTGCAATATTTACATGACACTACTAAACTATTTCAATACCTAGCCGGTGAAAAATTTATAACATATTAAATTACAGTGTATATTTTCTTAGAAAAGTTTTTCATAAATACTTGGCTTATGATATGATATAAAAACGTTATATAAATGTATGTGTACATAAGTATATATGTGTAATATCGTTCATGCAAATGGAGCTCAAGTGTTAATAGCAAGTTAAAAATTCTAAGAATTTTTTTTTAATCAATTAAAAAAAAAAAAAATAAAAAATAATCAATTAAAAGAATTTGACTTGTCTTTTTTATAACAATTGTTTTTTTCTAATATCTAATAATTTATAACAATGTAAAAAATTCTTTTTCTTATTTTAAATTTTCCCGCTATTAAACAGCGTCTCTACTAATTTAATTTCTGAGACAAGCAAAAATAAACAATAGAAAATTCAATTATAATAAATTGATTAATATATATATATATATATATAATAGTGTAATTGATAAGAAATTCATTTAAAAAATTTTTTTTAAAATTACTTTGACTAATAATTAATAAAAATAATATTTTAAAGTAAGTTTAAATTTTTGTCTTTGGTTAGAGAGAACATTTACGAATTTTCTGGAATGTTTTTGTGACTGGGGCTAAATATACAAAGCGCGCACGAGAGACGAGAACCAGAAAAGCATTTTAACCTGATCGTTGATTGTATTGACGTGTTAGAGGCTGACACATTTTTATTACAAAGTATAAAATAATTGTGATTTGTAATTTATTTTTTATATTCCAATTAAAACAATTAATAAAAACAAAAATGGCATCTAAAATTGAAGACGTAAGTATATTAATTAAAATATAATATTTAATAAATATTAAACTAACTAAAAAATATTTTTTAAAAATTGCATTTATAGTTTTTAAATTTTGTTACAAGTGGAATTTTTTTTTTATTTTTTTGTAATAATTTTTTAATTAAAAAAAATTCTAAAAATTTTTAGATTGCTAACTTAATTTTCATAATTAAAATTTATTTTATCTAATATTTAACAATGAGAAAAATTTTAAGACTGTTTAATAATTTTAATTAATTGTCTCTCTAGATTAAACTGGACATTGATGAGCTGAATAGTCTGTTGCTGCAAGCAAAAAGACAGAAAGTCAAAGACATGCTTGCGTTGGAGGTTAGACGTCTTCAAACAGAGCTGACTAAAATAATGGAGGCTAATAAAAACGAGGAGAACAAAAACTCGAAGCCGGCAGTTCCAGCGGTCTCAGATTCAAAGTGCTACGAGGTGAAATTGACCAACTACGCCTGGGACCAGTCTGATAAATTCATAAAGCTGTATGTCACCCTGAAGAATGTTCAATCGTTATCCAAGGAAGCTGTTGCCTGCAATTTCTCCGAGAGGTCTATTGACCTCCGAGTTATGGGATTGGAGAATCGAAACTACCAGCTTCCAATTTCAAATCTCTGCGAAGACATCGACCCGTCTAAAAGCTACATCAAGGTTAAAACTGATATGATCGTTGTGTTCTTGTCTAAAAAGGCTTCTAAGAATTGGACACACGTGACTGGAATAGAGAAGAGAATAAAGGAATCGAAAAATGCTCCCCCAAGCTCCGATAATGCAGACCCGGAAGCTGGATTGATGAATATCATGAAGAAAATGTACCAAGAAGGCGATGATGAGATGAAGAGGACAATTGCTAAAGCGTGGACTGAAAGTCAAGAGAAGAAGACTGCCAGTCTTGACAATTTCCCATCAATATAAGCTTTTTTTTTTTTATGACACTGAAGTTAACAAAAATTAGAAATTTTTTTACAGTTTTATAACAATTAAATTATCAAAAAAAAATTTTTTTAATCTAAATTGATTTGTTAAAAAAATAAAAAATTGTCAGCTAACTTCAGTGTCATTTTTTTTTTGTCAAAAAAAAATATTTTAAAATTAAACTTTTATGTTATGAATGATAATAATTGAACATACTTATATGAATTATTACATTGGTTAGTTTATTATAACATGTAATTATTTTATGCAGCATTTAATAACAGATATTTTGTATTATGTTAAAAACAATTAAGGTAATTTTAATAAAAATAAGTAATTTTAATTATTGTGCAATCAAATTTATTCTTTTCACACTCATACTAACAATTATTAAAAATTATAATTTACAATGATGATTTATTTTATTTTGGGGTTATTACATCGGTTAAAAAATTAAAATTGATTTTTAATACTAGTTACTTTTATTTTTTTTTTTCCCTGAGCGGAAAGATATCTTTAATTTTATTTGTTGATAAAAATATAACTGAGCGTATGTGACATTAAAAATGTAAGAGTAAATTTTATTTACATGCACTTTCTTGCAGGCGATTTGAAAAAATTTAGCAAAAACAATTAATAATTAAATTGTTTGATTTAATAATTAACAAAGCTATCATTAGCAATACTTATTAAATACTTAGAAATTTTGTGCTTTCAATTTATGATTTCCTTTCACTTGTAAGACTTATTTTTTTTTTTTTTTTTTTTTTTTTTTTTTTTTTTTATATTATACATTCAAAATAATTAAAATCAAATTAAATATGACAAAATAATTTTCACAAACTTATAAAATAAAAAAGTACAATAATAATCGGCGGTAAATACAATTTGACTAGTAAGTTTTTTACTAAATAAATAAATAAAATTAATTTTTTTGTGAAAGATTTAAAAGAAACAAAAAAAATAAACACTGAATACTTGAAAATTGTTTCGCTTATCTATGGGATATTCATGACTAATTGGAATGACCTTATTAATATAATAGAAAGTAAGTTGGATGACACGGAGACAGACCAGCCTTAGTATTTTTATAAAATAATTATAATAATTGAATTAAAAGATAAATAAGTTTAAAATGACAAAAAGTCGTATACTGGAGAAATAATGTAAAATCGAAAACATTTTTACACTTGAATCAATTCGTAAAACTGAATTTAGTTCGTATAAGTCTTTGGTTTTCTAGCTAGCTAGTTTGATGTACGTTCGTTCTGTTTTCCTTGGCTCATTATTACACAGAAAAAAAATTTTCTTGAATCAAGTAAGATAAAACACCCAGTTATTGACACTTGCAATTTTATTTTAATGAAAAAAAAAAAATTAATCAACTCTAATAAATTGATAAATATAATTTTTGAATTATAAATTTCAAGAAAATTGGTTTTTTGAGAATATTTAATTTTTTTTAATTAGAATAAAATTGCAAGTGTCAAACAACTAGGCCAGTGTCAATAATTGGGTCTTTTACCTTATATAATTTTTAAGAACTTAATCTTCTTGATTTAAGGAAATTTTACTGGATTTAATTTCCTTCAAAATTATTTTCTTGGTTCAAGAATTTTTCTCTTAATTCAAGTTATTTTTTATTTTTAAGTGTACTTATTTTGCATTGTTCAGCAGCATTAAGATAAAATAAAGTATACTTATTGTATTTAATGTTTGCATGAGTTGAGCGACTGTTGTACTTCACGAGAGCTTGAGTAAAATACTTGTGTCATAGAATTACGAGTTTTTTCCATCAACGCTTCAATATCTTCCGGTCCTAGGCCTTTGGTGAGTATGGGTGGTAAAGTTGTGATGATAACACGTCCTACAAATATTTATTTTACATTAACAATTAAAATTAACTGATAACAAAAAAATAAACTTTAATTATATTACCTGGATCAAATCGCTTATCCTTTTTAGATAAAAAATAATAAGAAGAAAATACAACTGGTAAAATGGGTAATTGTGAGTTAACAGCAACATGAAAAGCACCTTTTTTAAATGGATGGATTTCTCCGGTATTGTGTCGCGTCCCCTCTGGGAATATCCACAGTTTAATCTGTTGAAAATGTCAATAGTTATTACAATAAATTCTCATATATACATTAAATACTTCTATATATATTGCTTATATAAAGAACAATTATACTTGACAAATAAATGACACTAAAGTTAGCAGACGTCTAAAAACTTTTGATTTTTTTTATTAATTAAATTACAACTAAAAAGATATTTCTAAAAAATTGCACTTATAGTTTTTAAAGTTTTTTAGATGTGAAATTTTTTCAATAAAAAATTTCTAAAAGTTTTGAAATGTCGGATAACTTTATTTTAATACAAATAATTGTGTCAGACAATAAAAATAAAAATAAAAATAAAATTACCTTTTTTTCTTTTATTTTATCGGTGGCTGTATTTAAAGCAGTTCGTGCTTTTTCAGAGTTCATTCTATCAATAAAAATAAGACCACACAGCCAAGCAGCCAGCCCAAAGGGCCAAGCGTAAAATAATTCTTTTTTAGCAACAACTGTACACTTGTCCATCACCGGCCACATCTCGAACATCCCCAGTATGTCCAATGAGCTCTGGTGATTAGCGACAACGATACATGCTTGTTCTTTTTCCAAGTTTTCCCGGTTTCGCAATTCCCATTTTAATCCAAGTAAATTGCTTACGTGATGGCAAATTGATGAGGCCAATCTAGAGTTCACGTAATGTCATTAAATTATTATTACAACAACATCTGATAACAAATTGGATTATTAAGATAAAATAAAAAAATAAATAAAAATGATTAGATGACTTACAAAAGATTTTTAACATTTCCCGGACGGAACACCATAATAGGTATCAAAATTAATGAATTAGCCATAACAATACCGTAGTACAATAAAAATTTAAAATAATATCTAAATGTACTGCTGGTCTCATAGAGAAACGGTAGGATTAATATAAATCCCACTAAAATTATTTCTAGATAAGAAGGTGTCATTTTGTAATTTTTATCCGCAGTATCCAAAAAAATTTTCTGAAAAGGGTAGACATTTTTTTTAAAATAAAAAAATATATATTATATAAATTTAATCAAATTTCCAATTCACTGTACTTACCTCAACACCTGGCGTTTATTTTGTCTGGTCTGTTCTCGTGTTATAAACCCTCAGCAGTTGTTGACGACCAGTAATTCCTCCACTCACTGCAACGGAAGCGTCTTGTTTCCTACTTATATAAAAAAATTACCATTGTACTTATTTTTTTTTTGTTTCATTATTATCAGTCATGTATGTATAACAACACTCGCAAAACGTCAAGAGAAGAGGGCTGACGTTTATCAGCGCCGCCGGGACTAGGACCAATGAACGTACATCTTAACTGGGATAATATCTATATATACTTTTTATGTACAGTTTAATAATCGTTATTGCACTATAGTAAATAAATACATCCCCTTAATCTATTTCAACTCTTGATTAAAAACTGCGTTAAATTTTAATTGGTTGAAATTTTTGATAAAATTTTTTATCAAAAAAAAAAAAAATTTTCAAGAAATTTTGAAAAATTTTACAACAAAACTTTGTAAATTAATTTTTTTATATTCTTCTAAATAACTCTGTTCCTAAATTAGAATTTATCAATCCCGAGCTTATCATTTCCGCATAGTTTGAAGCTAAAAGAATATTAAATAAAATTGCGACAATAATTTATTAAAATTTCTACATTTGAATTTTTGAAAAAGCTTTTCTTACAATAATTTATTTAAAAAAAAAAGTCTTAAATATTAATAAATATCTGTCACATTTAAAATTACTACAATTCGCAAAATTATTTAAAATTATAATTATTATGAAAAAATTTCAATAAGAAATTAAAAGTGCTAATTTTTTATAAATATTGTTTTTTTATAATTGATTGATAATAAAAATTTTAAAAAATTGTCAGAAAAGTTTCATCTTCAAAAGCTCTAAAAATTTATAAATGCAATTTTTTAAAAATAATTTTTTAGCTCTAGTCCATTTTTCAAGAAACATCAAACAAGTGTCTGCTAATTTCAGTGTTGTTTTTTTCAAAACAAAATCATATTTTAAGAATTTATATATTCTTTTAATGTATATTTAAATGCCAAATTTTCCCAAGACACTGATACCATCTATTTTCTAATTTAAAAATACTTCTTTCACTTTTAGTGCAGTTTAAAAATGGGCTTCAGGTAAATATACATTCACAGAATTTATTTAAGACGTAATTAGAAAAATAAATTTACTGAAACTCATTTACTAGACTTATCTCTTTAAGTTTCTTACATTCATACCTAATGATAATGAGTCTACGTCTGCAAGTTCTGCAAAAAACAATTATAATACTTAAACTTATCCGACGTTTTTAAATTTTTGATATTTTTTAATTTTTTAAATTATAACTAAGTAAAAAATATTTTTTTTTAATTTTTTGTAATAATTTTCTTCAATAAAAAAAAATTTAAAAAATTTTTAAATGTCGGCTGACTTAATTTTCACAAAAATAATTAAGAGAGAGAAAGAACCTAAGGAAAAATTAGGTGCGTGATTGGTCGAAGAAGCCGACTGACTACCTGAACCCCATTTTTAACAGCACACTAACTTACATTTCTTATATACTGCCGGCCATGTTCTTCCGGTGTCTTTACATCTTTCTCCTTTGTCTGATCACTCGTTAGGTGTGTTAGCTGTTAGCGTCTCGGCTGCAGCACGCTTGAAGCTTTAATTTGGGAAGAAGACGCTCTGCAAACACGCGTAGCCACTAACCAGCAGTTCACTTGAGTCCAAGTTTTGTTTGAGGTAGCGTCGTGACATCTAAATACTTAAAATTTCATCGTTTTGTATTTAATTCCTCGTGGATGAATAATATTCCACTGAGAGTTTTAACTAAAGTAAGCATTTTAAAATAATCATATTATTATTTTTATATTGTATTATTTCTTATTAAATCACATTTAGTGCCTTGAAAAAATAATATATCTAATCACACTTATTTAAAATAAATAAATTTATTTACATTAATAAAAAAAATAAATGTTTAGTAGGTGACGCAAGAAAATTTTCTACTTGAAAGACAAAGCAATAGTTAAATGACTATCGACAAAGAAATAGAAGACCTGCGGTCGGCAGTAGTCTCTCAGCTCGTCACGCGGAAGCCTGCGCACGGAATCCCATTGGATGCAGTCGTCAGAGATTACAAAGAATTAAACGGTGAACATATTCCTTATCGCAAGTACGGTTTCTCGACGTTAGTTGATTTTCTTAAAACAATCCCGGAGTTAGAAGTTTATTCGCGAGGTGTGGCTCATTATATTAATTTCAAAGGCAAAGAGTCTTTTAAACACGTGACTGATTTGATCGCTAGAACGCGGCCGAAACTAAGCAGAAATTACAAAGGATCAGCGAACTACCGAAGCCACTCAGTTGGAATGAGAAAGACAGTTCCGCCGGGTTACAAGCCGCCTCAAGACTACAACAACAGACCGTATGAATCTACGTCTTCTTCTTCATCAATAATTGATCCCGCAGTAACAAGTGAGATTTTATCAATAATTAAAGAGTGTCCCAGTGGTTTATTTCTTTCTGAATTACTTGAAAAACTCTACAACCGTTCGCGTCTTAATTTAAGCAACAATCAGATCCAAGAACACTTGAAGATGCTCGAGCGTGAAGTTGCTAGTAAAGATAACATGATTTATCTTAGAAAATCGTCTCCGCGGGACTCTTTTGCGCCGAGATCAAGCAGGTCTCAATCTGTGCCTCCTAGAAGACATATTAATAATAATAATAATAATAATAATAATAATAATAATCAAAGCAGGTATTCTAATGAGACCAATGGTAATCGCAATTATGATAAGTATGTGAAGAAGAATAATAGTGATTATAATAATTTAGAAGAAAATAATGGTCAGTATGGAAACGGTAATTATCAAAGTAATTATGGGAATACAAGTACTGAAATAAATTATTCTAAAAATGCTTCATCTAATAATAAGAATTTTAAAATTGCTGGTGTGGATTCTGATGAGGATTTAAATAATGACTATTATAATGATTTTGATAGTGGGCCGAGTCTTGCAGAAAATGAGTACGTTGGTATTCATTCAACTAATGCAAAAAATAATAATAATAATAATAATGAGTCTCAGTATCATGACAAGTCTGGTGATACTATCAGTGATTCAAGAGAAAAAGATCCAGAGAAAATAACTTACAAACACGACTCAAGTTACAATAATAATAATAATAATAATAATAATACTCATGAATCAAAAGTGAGATCATCAAATTACCATCATGAATCCGAGGCTGTTAATCCTAAAGTAAATACCAGCGATGATATAACTAAAGCTGAGAATATTGACAGAGAAATTCTTTTTCAAAAAAATAAGAAGTTTGTAATAGAGTCACTTTCTCAGCGTACTGTATTGAGACTGCAGAAGCTCTTGGAAAATAATCCCAATGGTATTTGGAGCCTTGACTTGCCGACTTTGTATGAAAAAGAATACAAATTGTCGCTGGACTGGGAAAAGTCAAACTGTCAGCGGTTTTCTGACTTTGTATCATATCTGCCTCATATTTTTCACAAGATTGGGCCTTACAGGAGAGGAGACTATAAATTGTTTGATGCTAGAAAACCGATACCAGATGACGATGATAAGGTTGTAAAACAAACTCCGACTTTGGCTTCAGTTTATAATTCTTATAACAATCCGAATTACTACGACGAATCGATCCCACGGCGAGTTTCGCAAGAAGTTAGACGTAAATTGTTTCCACTGGATGTAATTAATGACGAGGAAACTATCGAGTGTATACAGGTCAGTGAATTTACTCCTGGAACGAACGAGCTTGGAGGAAAACAGTTCCAATATGTTGAAGTTAACGTAGTAGAAGCTTTTGATCCTTCATTTTTCTGGGTACAATTGAGTAGAAATAAAGATCAATTTGACGATATGATGGAACGTTTGGGGTATGTATTTGTTGTTTATTTTATTTTTTTTAATTTTGAGGGAATGTTTGCTTAATTTATTTATTTATTAATCTTTTATTTATAGGACATTTTACGATGAAAACAGCTCCAAGTACGCAATTCCTCAAGTTTTAATGGTTGAAAAATTGAATGTTGCTTGCAAATTCTACGGCACATGGCATCGTGGCATGATCAAAAGTGTTTCGCCTTCACTGTCTAGTGCTAAGGTGAGTATCTTAGAAATAATCATTGTCATTATTATAATTTTTAATCAAATTTATATTATTAAGAGAATAATTTTCATGGTTTCATATCATTCTCATCAATAGTCAATTTATGATAATAAATATTTAGGCTGCATTTGAAAATGCTCCATCTCTAGATACATAATTAAGAAATGACCCTGTATCTCGTGAACTATTGACATTTTTAAAGATATAAGCTCATCTCGATGTTGCACTCATCGAGACCTTTCATTTGAGTACCCACATCATTTTTTCATATATTTTATATATTTATATATATTATATATATGTATTTATGAAAAATATATCAAAAATGCATGTGGGTACTCAAATGAAAGCTCTTGATGAGTGTAACATCGAGATGAGCTTATATCTTTAAAAACGTCAATAGTTAAAAAAAGTACAGTGCAATTTAACAAAAGTCATTATTTAATAACGCAAAATTTTATTTATTCATAGTTCATAAGTCACGGCAGTCACATAGTGACTGCAAGGTTGCTAGTATTTATTAAAATTTCGAGTATATTATTTTTTTCAACAGATCCATTTCTATGATTTCGGAACTATGAAATCATATCGTGCTGATGAACTGTTCTTTTTGAAACGATCTTTTGGACTTTTGCCTGCTCAAGCCATCCCATGTGGTTTAGCTGGGATTGAACCCAAGGTACATACCGGCGAAGGTAATGGTTGGCCTGTTGAAACACGTGATGTATTTATTAAATTGGCCTTCAAATGTGAAATGTGGGCGATGGTACAAAAAATTGATCTTGACGTAAGTTAAACAATTATTATTATTATTATTATTATTATTATTATTATTATTATTTTCCAAACTACATTTAAACCTTTATAAATATTTCTATTAAAATTTTAGAATAATTCCATGCTGGTTGGTCTGACTGATACTTCAGATGCAGAAGATCTTCACATTGCAGACTTCTTATTACGACACAAGCTAGCTGCGAAATCTAACACGGTTCGTATTACCACCAGAAACTTTTTTTTCAAACACGCTTTACAATCTTCTGCCGAATGGAAGAAAAAATATTTAAACGCGTCTGTAGGTAATTCTAGCTTAGCTCGAATTAATCGTCATAAATCAGTTAAATTTTCGTCTTCTGATATTAATAAGTACCGTAATCACAGTAAAGAAAACGCTCAAAAATCTAGTGAAGCTTTATCGCCTTCAATGCTACGTGAAAGAGCTAAATCTGAACTCAAGTCCAAGCAAATAGAATCACAACCATCTCCAGTAGTTTTAAATTATTTACCTCCCCCAAGAGTAAATTTATTATCCTTAGGATCCTCTTTAGACAAAGTACAGTTATGGTTTGAACTAAATAAGGAATTAAATAAAAATTCAGGTGATGAGAGCTCTAACGATTCAATTGGTGCTAATTTTGAAGCATCTAAACTTGAACCTATTCATCATGAACCAAAATCTGTTCCAAAAAAGCAAACAATTAAACTTGAAGATATTTTTAAGACATCCCCAGCTCAAGATACTTCTCAAAAAATTGAACCCCATCATGTTTCTAAAACATCTAAACCTCATTATGTTTCTGAGTCACCTAATCATTCATTATTAAAAACTCCAATTGAAGATCATAATCCAGTTAAATGTAAGGATGTATCAAATATAATTGCCGTTGATGACAGAGCTGACATTCCTGAATGTGGAACCTTTAGTAGTCCTTTAGGAGGGCACGGGCGAGCAGAACCAATTGATTGGAATAATATCAAACAATTGTTGAAGAAAAATGAACGAGAAACTCTCCAATCACAATCAAGCTCCGATGAAACTTCAAGTGGAAACAAAGCGCCGGTACTTTCTCAGCCCGGAGTTTCAAAATTATTGACTGCTTTTGACGATGAAGATGATGATAAAATTCCCGAATCGGGAACATTCAGTAGTCCTTTGGGTGGTCATGGACGAGAAGAATTTTTAGACTGGAACGCAGTAAGAGGACAAGTTGAGGTTACCAACGACGAGAAGGTATCAAAATCAATCTCACTAGGAAAACTTTCTTCAGCGAAGCCTATGGTTGGTAATAATAATAATAATGATAATAAACCTGCAGGTAAGTCATATTTGAATGACGAGGCTCATCGATACTTTGAAAACTTTTATCAATCTTGTATTGCTCCTAAAATTTCAAAAGGAAATTCTATTTTATCGTGGGATAGCGGAGATGAAGTTCAATACACTGGGACAATTACACCGATGGTACGACAAACTCTTAATACTATCAATAAAAAATCTCGACGAGTCAAGGTGACCGTTCCAGTTAATGTACGAAGATTGATAGATGGAGGACCTGGCTCTAGTTCTGATAGCGTTTCTTCAGGAAGTCAACGAAGCGGCTGGAATTCATTTGATAGACCAGTTAGTCGGTCTAATAATGTTGAGCAGAAAAGCGACAGTGATTGTAGATCCTCTGGTTCGTCTAAACAAGTTCCGACAATTTATAAATTATTAAAGACTCGTCATTTGAATAGTATTAAAAAGAGCAAAAATGAAAGTTCAAGTGATGAAAAGAAGGAAGATTCTGAAAAGGTTAATAATGAAACTGCTGAAAGTCAATCTCAAAAGAACAAAGTATTGATTGAACAGTTACCATCTCCTAAGAAAAAAGTATTGATTGAAGAGTTACCATCTTCAAAGAAGAAAGTCAATTCAATTTATTACGCATCTGCAAGAATTAGCTTATTTAAAAAATTAAATCTACAAAGAGAATCAAGTATTGATGATGGCAGTCTTGATTCAGATGATTCTTATTGCGGGGCGAGTACAAGGAAGGAAGTTGCTTCTGATAGCAGTAACGATTTTAAAAAAATAAATAATGAGAACTCGGAAATTAATCACAAACTTACCAAAAGAGTTAATTTTGAAGAAGAAGAAAAAGGAAGTAGTGATGAAAAAATTAATGAAATGTTAATTGAAAAATTGGATTCTGAAGAAAGTACAAAAGATAGCAATAGCTTAAATGAAAAAAATAATAATGATGTGAATAAACTTGAGGTTTGTGTGCCAAAACAACCGCCTAAATCAATGGGAGTTTATAATGACCTAGACCCTGAATCTGATAACAGCGAGTATGATTATAATTTACCATTAGATTTTCTTGCAAATTTCTTCGGTGTTCAACTTCCTAATCAAAAAAGTATCACAAACTCGTCAGCAGGTACTGACACTGATGGTAATTCTGAAGATGAGAAATTACAAATTGAAGAAATAAATGAAAAAGCTTCAAGTTATCTGTCTGAGAGCAGCTTAGACATTTCTAGTGCTCGTGATAATTATCTATCACCTTCGTCTCGTGTAGAAACAGATTCCGAGTCCCCAATAAAGCATCCAAAAACTTTTGACAATAAGAAAAATTTGACTAAAGTTTATAATCACCCTGAGTATCAAAAGATGTTCAAGTTTGAAAAAAATAACGAGGGATCTAAAAAAGAATTTGATTCACCTGACAGCGATTTTCAAAATTCTGACCGTGAAAAAATAATTAGGACACCGAGTGTTAAGTTGAAGTGTTCTATATTAAACGAAGTTAAAAAGTCAGGGCTTCTTGAATCTCCAAAAGTTATTCAAAATTGCAATTTGAGTTTTAACGCTGATGATTTTTTAGATAGCGATAAATAATTAACCTATTCTAAATGAATTTAATTTTTTATTTTGTTTACTTTTATACAAAAGATTATCGTTTTCTTTACATAACAATTATATTTGTTTTTTCAATAATTACTTAATTTTTTTTTTTTTTTCTTAAAATTTAATTCATGAGAGTTAAGCGAGAATAATTAAGGAACTGAGACAATGTGCCATTTAATTAATTACAATCAATTTTTTTCTTTTTAATATTCAACTAATTTCTCATCATAAAATTTGATATTAATTTTTTTATAGTAATTAAAAAAAAATATTTTTTTCTTTATAAAATTTGTCAAAAAAAAAAAAAAAATGTGGATGGCATATTATCAATACACTTTTAATCAATTAATTAATTATCTTAAAAAGTTACAATTATTAGTTCAATAAATAAATAAATGTATTCAATTTTAAATTTATAAATTAAACGTGTATGATAAATAAATGTCTTCACTTAATTTTTTTTTTGGTGTTACTATTTTATTAACTATCCCTACTTTTTCAGAACATCGTCATCGATCCAAATGACATGAGTTTGTACGTCGAAGATTACGGAGAAAATCACACTAACAGCATTATAGAATTACTGCAGACTACACCAAGAATTTCTACTACTCCGTCAACAGAAGTGTCATCTGCCTCTCCGACAATACAAAATTCAAGTGGTATTATTCCCAACTCGGGGGTTACTACTACACCCAATGTTCCTTCCGTAGCAATGTGGGAAACTGTTAGAGAAAAAATAATCCAGGTTCTAGATCAATACACCCAGTCGGCAGTGAGTTTGTACAAATCTATGATCGTCGCTGATATGGAGTCCAAGGGTCTTGAAATTATAAATAGCACTTTCTATGAATTGTACGCTAAGTTATTTTACCAGACTATCAGTTCGATTAATTTTAGCGAAACGCCTGCAGTTACGTGTACTCCTAATCGGCCAGCCTCCAAATATCCCCCGGAGTTGATTGAACTGTACAAGTGTATTAAAGATCAGTCTTTATCAGAAACTAAATCTATCGCTGACAGCGAAGCTACGTTAACTAATGAAAAAAATGACTCTGATATATTCGACGAATCTTTTAGAAGTCTTAAAATAGATAACGCTTCAAATCTTGCTAATATTGCAGCTGAAACTACTAGCACTCCTCATCAAGTACAAACAGACCGTGTTAGACTAGAAAATTCAATTGCCCAAGCTAGTCAATCGTTTTTCCAAAAATTGAATGAACAAAAATCATCAATGGAAGTTCCAAGTGATTTTGTTGAAACAAATCCTTTTAAACAAGACATAACGTCTTCTGAAACGCAAAAAATAAAATATCTACCGCCTCTACCACCAAGACCCAGAAAAGAAACTATTAAATCTGCGCCTCCTAAAACTAATTTAAATTTTGGAGTAATTAGCGCATCTCCAGTGCTGTATGATATTCCAGAAAAAATTACAGATGATTTAGAAGAACCAACTACTGATACGACAGTTTTTAATCCTGATCCTATTGAACCGGTGAAAAGTTCAATACCTGTTTATAATAACATACTTATAAATCCAGTTGGTATTAACAGACAACGTAATGAGAATTACGAAGAAGATTCTTGGGATTCAAAGAGTAGCTACTCAGTGTGCGACCCGGTAGATGCGACTACTGCTGAGAGTATTGAAAAAGATTCATCTTATTCGTACAGTGATCAATTATCTAAAAGCACTGATAAGTCTTACGGTTCTGTTAAAAATAATAATCCAATTGCTAAAAAATACTCTAACCCAATACCTTTTAGAACTGCGAAACTCACGAATTGCGATGTTATTATTTATAATTTTGCTAACAGTGGATGGATACTGATTGATCATTACAGACGAGCTTTTACCGTTTTTGATGACAACAAATTTATTTTAACGATGATTGAATTAAAATCTGTTAATATCCCGGTTAAGAAAATAACTTTTGATAAATATCCTCAGATATTTGAACAGTACAGACAGTCTTTTGAACGATTTAAAGAAAATGATGATTTAGAAACCTTGGATTTGATTCCTGTGAGTCATGTGCTTAAGCTATCGCAAAAACTCGTTGTTGTAGCTCGAGATGAAATTGAAAGCATTAAAAATCGTAATTACGACGTTCAGTTGTCTGCTAATATGATTGATTTACTCAAATTAATATCTCATAACGAAATATTTATTAATGACTTGATGAGTAAATAGAAATTGGTTATTTGACAAGCAATAAGCATAATATTAGTAAGCATCTCTTGAATATTATTATTTATTTTTTTTTTTTACGCTTTATTTTTGCAGTCTTTACATACTAATAATTTAGTATTAAGTATTAAGTATAATTTAGTATTTAGTATATTAATACACTAATTTTTTATTTTTTAAGAACTGTTGATTTAGTTAAGACAAGTTTGATGACAAAAATTATGTTATTATTATGCAAAACCATGCCATGGATATAATTAGTGTTAATTATTAGCGTTATTATTATTGATAATATTTATATCATTTATTATTTTTTTTTTATTATAATTAAAAAATGTAACTATACAATTAAAAACTAGTTTTTAAGACAAATTTGATAGCAAAGTTTTTTCTATTAAAAAGTAATTAATTTTTGATCAAATAATTATTTTTATATAATCATAATAACAATTTAAAGTATCATGATTATCAACAATAGTTTAATAATATCTATTATTAGTTACTTTTTTATAATATATTTAAGAATAAATCTTGTATAGTATACTTTTGACTCACGCTACTTGATAGTATTTATAAGAAACGAAATTATTTTTTTTTCTCAATAAAAATATAATCTAGTGAATTACTTGTTTTCTTAATCAATCACATTAAATTAGCAGTCACTTATTTATTTTTAGTTTTTTTTTAACAAATAAATTAGTTCCAAAAAATTAATTTTGAAAAATTGTATTTATTTTTTTTTAAATTTCTATCAATTTTTTTTTGCTATAATTTATTTATTAAAAAATTTTTTAAATTATAAAATATCTGTTGAATTAATTTTCATTCTTAATTAAGTAATAATTTATAAAAAAAAAATTGAAAGCTTACCGCTTAAAAAATTATCCGGGAGCTAGTGACCTCTGCGTCACTTGAGAAATAAAATCGATTGGTAAAGTTGTAGGCATGTATTTTTCATTTTCTACATAGAAGTTGTACATTCGGGTAATTCGTGAATGTGAGACAAGTCGGTATCTAACTGAACAAAATTATTAAATTGCAATAAATTATTGAAACAAAGAATTATCAAAAATGGGTGATGACGGTCAGAAATTTACTGGTATCCAGAAATATTTTAACAGCACAACTAATTCCGGCAGAGCTAATGTAAGTAAACCCAAAATAGTATTCCTAACCTAATATATGTATCATGTAATAACATGTCGTATAAAAAAAAATTGTTTAAAAAATATTTTATAAAAATTTGTCATGTTACAGACTTCTAAGTTAACACTCAGTGTCCTGGGATTAGTAATTGCTTACAATCTTCTGAAACCAAAGAAGAAGGCAACACAACCAAGTGCCTAGATGATCTGTCATGTAAAATGTAGACTTATGTAATAACAATTTATTCTTATTTTTGGTCTACCATGACTTTTTCTGTTAAAAAAACGAAATTACACCACTTTAAATTGTTCAATAAATATTTAGGAATAACTTAACTGGAGCTGTAATTACCTGTTGGTCCTTTGACAATCCTGACTTGTTTTAAATTAGTAGTATGGATGCCTGAGAGATTTATTTGTAATTATTTTTGTTTTTGAATTATTTAAATATTTAAAAAAAATAATAAAATTTATGATATTAAAGTTAGCCGACATTAAAAAATTTTTGTATTATTTTCAACAATTAAATTACGAGTAAAGAAATACTTAAAAAAAATTGCACGTATGTTTTTTAAAATTTTCTGCAGGTGAAATTTTTTGAGTATAAAAAAATATAAAAATTTTCAAATATCGGGTAATTTAATTTTCATAAAAAATATATGTATTTATTTGGTATGGTAGATAAATAAATACTCGTATATTCATAAAGAGTCATTTATATTTGGTTATAATTTATATACAATATAATTATACTCTGAAGCAAGGATAAATTACATTATAAAAAAACTAAAATAAATAATAATATACATACAATAAAAATGATAACTATTAAATATTTAAAAATAACATTTTTGAGCTTCAGCTGGTGACTGCCCATGACTGTAATTTAAATTTATAAGCAAGCTATTGTAATTTTATATTAACAGCAATATTTATTCATTTATTTATTACATTATTTAAATATATATTTTTAGTATAGACAAGTCTACACAGGAGTATGATAAAAATTTCATGACTAGAAACGTTTTTATTATCGTACAGTCACGAGAGCGTCTTTTTTTCCCTCTTACATATTTTATTTCCTAATTAGAAAAAATATTTTCAAACAATCAAATCGTTTTAAATTAATTTTTCTAATAAGGATTATTATTATTATCTTATTGTTAAATGCTTATAATTATTAACAGGAGTTTTACTATTTCATCGAGTCAATTGAAATGTTAAAGATTCTGATAAAGTTTTTTTTTTTTTTTTCATTTGTATGACTGAGCAATTTTACAAGAAAACATTTTTATATTATTATTATTATTATTATGTCATTTTTAATTCACATTTATACATATAATACTTGCATGTTTTTAATTACAGAAATTTAATTTAAATTGTTATTTTAATTAATTATATTACGATTTATTAATTAAATACTTAACATACTTTAAAATGATGATTTTTAAATAATAGAGTATTTAATAATTTTTTTAATGAGTATTTGGATCAGTATATTGTTTATTAATCAATCAACGTTCTATTATCACATCAAACTTTGAGGTACTTGGTTGGCATCGAATTAATTACAATAATTAATTATCATCGATGTTTCTCAATCGTTAATTATTTTTTACGCTCTGATAATATTAGCAATTATGATTGTTACATTTAATTAATAAAGTATTAATAATTAATTAACATTAATAATTTTGATATTATTAAAATTCACTACTCAATTACTTTCGACGTTCAGTTAACTAATTTTCATTAATCAGTACCAAATTAATCAAAAAAGTATAAATAAATAAGACATATATATATATACATTCTTATACAATATAATATAATATAATAATTATTTATTATTCACTCATCGAATTTATCAGTCGTATATCGAGAAAGTAATTGGTCAATATTTTTATTTCCTTTCTCAAAAATATAATTAATTTTTTTCTTTACAACAATTTACCTCTGAATTTAAATAAATTCTAGCTAGATTTATCTTCAAACTATATATACAGTTTACTCTCTGACATACATGAATATCATTTTAAAGTTGATATTAAAATAAAAATAAAAATAAAAAAATTTAAAATAATATCCATCCGGGGCTGGCAGAGTTTCGTTAAAACATATTTCTTCACTTCCGCGTAATATCAAATCGGATTCGCTTGTGAGTATTTTAATTTAACTTGAAAGTACGTGACATCTGTAAGAGATTCGACTTTTCTTCTTTGTTTTTCTTTCTTATAATTTTTTTCTATAACTTTCTTTTATTTTTTCAACATTTAAGAAACCCCAAGGCGGATATCGAGAAAACTTTGTTAAATGTTATTTTTTTTTTCTTCATTCAAGTAAAGTGTCTTGTCGCGCTACAACAAATTGGTCTCCATCTCGGTCTTGAAAATTAATTCCAACCACAACAATAATCCAATAATATAAACCTTTGGTCACAATTGTCTTGTGAAAACTTATAGAATTTAATTATAATACTGAAGTTAGCCTGTTAATTTTAAAAATTTTAATAACAAATCAATTACAAATGAAAATTAAGTTAGCCGACATCTAAAAATTTTTATAATTTTTTTTTTCATTGAAAAAATTTTCATTTGTAAAAAAATTGAAAAACTATAAGTGTAATTTTTTAAAAATATTTTTTACTTCTAATTTAATAAAAGAAAAAAAAAAAAATATAAAAACTTCGGCTAACTTTATTATTATCAATTACAATAAAAAAAAAAATGCTTCTAAAAATTTTCACTTGTCATTTTTATCAATTTGCACACGTGAAATTTTTTAATTGAATTTTTTTAATAATATCTATGACGCTGAAGTTAGTAGGCGTCTAAAAATGTTTGATTTTTTTTATTAATTAAATTACAACTAAAAAGGTATTTTTAAAAAATTGCACTTGTAGTTTTTCAAGTTTTTTACATGTGACAATTTTTTTTTTTTAATTGTTTAATCGAAACTATTTCAATAAAAAATTTCTATAAATTTTGAAATGTCGACTAACTTAATTTTCATTAATATTTTAATTATTATAAAATTCTAAAATAATTTTTAATGTCTGTCAACTTCAGTTTCACATTTAATTAAATTATTATATTACTAAATTTCTTCTTTGCTATTTATATATTATTTTAATTTTTCATCCATTTTCAATTGAGAGGGTGTTCAGAATTGTCCTTCGGACTCCAGCCATTCTGTACATGGTTCCTGGATCCTTGATGCTGATTAGCAACCGGACTGGAGCTCGCAGGTGCTGGATAATAAACACACGGACCGGGATTAGAAGCTCGCGTCGTAAGAATTTTAACGCTCTGCCTCCTACTGCTGCCATTTGTGTGTAAATTATTGGCTCTGACGACAGTAGTGTTTGATCTTTGAAAATGATTCCTTCTGATTGAGTTTTTCAGCTCGATATTTGTCATATTAGTCACCACAGACTCGTCATTAGTCTGAAACTCCGGACTATCTCGGCCGGCTCTGAAGAATCTTGAGCTACAAAAGAGCCTGATAAAGAGTCTTTTGAAATTTCTGCCGAATATTACGTAGACTATAAAATTTATGCTGCTGTTGATCGTCACAAGAAGATTACCGGCTTGAACCAACCAGACCGGTGGCACTTGAAACATCTCGAAGACATTTGACACCAAAGGAAGTACATTACAAACGATAAATACGATAACCACGCACAGCAGCATTGTCGCTAGATTTATCTCTCGTCTTTGGTGTCTGGAGAGCTGTTGGAGATCTCGGTTTGCTTTTCTTACCTGCGGAAAAAATCAGATAAGTTTATTTTTATACTTGATAAAAATTAATTAATATAGTTTTTTTTTTTTATATATATATATATATTTTATGATTATAATACTAAAGTTATAAGTATGAAAATTAAATTAGCCGTTTAAAAATTTTTTTTCATTAAAAAAATCATTACAAAAAATTAAAAAAAAAATTTTCATTTGTAAAAAATCTTTAAAAATTGTAAGTGCAATTTTTAAAAAATATTTTTTTGTTCTAATTTAATTTTTTGATTTTTTTTTTTAATCATTTAATTAAAACTAAAAAATATTTTTAAAAAATTGCACTTGTAGTTTTACAAATGAAATTTTTAAAAAAATTTTTTTAGTAACAAATATTGTACAAATTTTTAAATGTAACTTAATTTTCATTTTGTTTTATAATACTAAAGTTAGCCGACGTTTTTAATTTTTTTTTTTTTTTTTTTTTTATAATTAAATTAGATCAGAAAAATATTTTTAAAAAATTGCACTTGTAGTTTTACAAATGAAATTTTTTTAATAATAAAAATTGTAAAAATTTTTAAATGTCTAACTTAATTTTCATTTTATATTTGTGTTTTTCTAATCTAAAAAACTGTTCGCAAACTTGACTGTGGCATTTGTTGAAAAGAAGCTAAATTACAAACAAGTGTTTGAAGAAAACCGGCGCCAAAGGAGAGTAGAAAGCAAGGACAATATATTGTCCTAGTGAACCTACGTGGGATGACGTTGCAGAGCGATGTTTTATAATATCTATCGCAACTACAGTCTACAGTAAAGTTGTATAGACTATTGCGGCATTACTTTACTCGTACTACAACATTCACGCTGACATATTTTCATTTCGAGATACGGTAAAATAAAGCCGACGACTAATGATGATACTTGTATTAATGTATCTTCTCATCAGCGAGGGAAAAATATCCATTAAAAATTAAAAGATTAATTACTCGAAAATTATTCAACTGTCATGAAAGTAATAAGCATCGATTTTAATAAAGAATCACACGAAGATATTTTAAACAATATTCCTCGAGTGTTTTTGCTGTAGAAACGGTAACGAAGCAATTAAAAAGCGTCAGGAACAGAGTATAATATTTCCCGGGTATGCGATAACAACTTGTGATATTAAATCATCTTGATAACTCTCAGCATTAAGCATTTGTGTTTTCTTCAAGTTTTACAAAGATAAATTTAAGACGATCAAACCAGAGCACTTGATATGTTGTTTTTGCAAGAGATGCTTTTATGTAAAAGATTTGTTTCAATAATTTAAGACCCTTTTATGATTAATTGATTATAATTATATAATTAGTAAAGTAGTAAAATTTTTTAATTGAATAGAAATAGTTGAGTAAAGAGCGATGTATAAATTTAAACTTGGGTAAATATTTTTTAAAATGACTATGTATCGAGGATAATATAAATATAATACAAAGACAAGAGACACAAGACACCGGTAGGTTGTATCACGTACTGGCAAAGTCTCGGAAAGCAGCTCGGTTGTTCAGTTGACAGGCGTAAATAAATCGACGTGAGGTCGAGGTAGTAAAAGGAATTGGAAATAGCAAGGATCTCGAGGTGATTCACCTGTAGATATACTCGTGAGTGGTAGACGAAAAGAAAACCACACTTGCGAAATTGGAAATGTTTGTGGAGCACACACTATTTCCCGAAACGATGTCTTATCAGGAAAAATATCGTTCTTTCTTACTAAGCATCATTCTTACTAAAATAAGACCAACCGGCTATAAGAAGAACAAATCCTTTTTCGTAACTTTATATATCTATTTCTTTTACTAACCCCTAGATATTCTTTTTGGCTATTAAATTAAGTGTCTTTTTTCTCGTCTCTCTCCATCAACTTGTTGGAATATTTACCGCTCTTTTTACCACTCGGTAACGTGACATTAAAACCAGAGACGTTAAATAATAGTTAATGATATCGCATTTGTAATGCCCAAATGGCATAATACTTTTTTTTTGGCCTATCGCAGTAGAATAGTTTGAAATTTTTTTTTTAAATAAAAAATGAGCTAGTTAAGAGATATTTGTAATAAAAAGAAAATTATTTAAAGGAAAATTTTTACTTTATTAAATAATGACTTTTGTTAAATTGCACTGTAATTTCTTAAATATTGACATTTTTAATAATATAAGCTCATCCTGATGTTACACTCATCGAGAGCTTTCATTTGAGTACCCACATGCATTTTTGATATATTTCTTATATATACATTAGGGGTGTGCGAATAATTCGAACTTAAGAATTATTCGTTTCGAATCGAATATTAATATTCGATTCAAAATTCGAATCGAATAATTTGAATTTTCAAATTATTCGAAATTCGACAAATAATTCGAAATAATTCGAAAAAATTCGAATTATTCGAATTCTTTCGAATTATTTGTCGAATTTCGATTAATTCAAAAACTCGAATTATTCGATTCGAATATCAATACTCGATTGGAACGATATTCGCACACCCGTATTTGAAATTGTCGATAAGTTCATTATTAATCATTCTTATGTACCAATTGAATCGTTTTCACATTCTCTACAAGGATTCTAGGCCAAACAGTTGATTAGATTAGTAACTTGGAAAAAATTTAGAGTTTTCATTTTTACATGTCCGCGTGGCTATGCTATCAAGTCTTATCAAGACTTATCAAGATTAGGGTTTAATTTAAAATTAGGGGTGTGCGAATAATACAAACTTACAAATTATTCGTTCCGAATCGAATAATTTGAATTTTCGAATTATTCGAAAAATTACGAATAATTCGAAAAGTTTCGAATTATTCGTCGAATGTTGATTAATTCGAAAATTCGAATTATTCGGTTCGAATTTCGAATCGAATATCAATATTCGATTCGAACGATATTCGCACACCCCTAATATACATATATATATATATATAAATATATAAAAAATTAATGTGGGTACTCAAATGAAAGGTCTTGATGAGTGTAACATCGGGATGAGCTTATATCTTTAAAAATGTCAATAGTTCACGAGATACAAGGTAATTTCTTAATTATGTATCTAGAGATAGAGCATAAATTGACTATAAAATGTACGCTAATAATGATTAGCAAAAAAATTTTTTTATTAAATCGAATCTTTTTTTACTGAAATAATATAACACGATTTAAAATAATATTTATATATTTTTTTAGTACTTAACATGCGAAATTTAAAAAAAGTAATGTATTGTCAACGGCAGGATATGCGTCACATGGATTTTAACGACTGCGGCAATAAGCAATAGAGACCAGAACTGGGTTACCGAGGGTATAAGTTTACTGAGTGTGAAAAAGAGCAATTTTATTTTTTCTCTGAATTTTAACTTTTTCAATTTTAATTTTTTTCAGTGACCTTTTTTTATGGGCACATTATATTCGATTTGATATCAATATTCACCTAAAATCCGATGCATACTCGGGTGGAATAATATAAGGAAAAAAGTGTGTTGGATTTGGGGCTAAAGCCAAAAAACTTGGCACCGCCTGTATTATATTTTTCCTCTGGATTATTTAAATCTAAAATAGGAGATTTAATAAAAATAATTGAATGGAAATTTATAGTTATACAATTAAATTACTCACTCTTCGATAAATAGCGACGTTGAAGACAACCAGCAGCACAAAAGGTAAAGCGTAGTAAAAAAAAAAGTACATCCAGTTAACGTATATCGATATATATAAATCATTGGATCTCAAAATAGCTGGCCCGACGCAGTATATCGTAACGTTGTATCTCCAGTGAATTTCTTCCTCTAGATTAACTTCCCAAAATCTATAATTTTATTTATGTAATTTTTTTTATTTTCCCAAGCAGTGAGTTGGATATTTTTTTTCTTAGCTGACACTGAGAGACGTCACTTACTTGGGCAAATTGTAAATAGTGGAGACAATGACGATGCAAAGTACCGCAAGTCTGGCTCGCCCGTAGGTGCAAAAAGAGCGAGCTTTAAGTGGATGACAGACTGCTACGTAACGCTCTATTGTCACCGTCAGCGTCAAATAAACGGTAACCATCTGAGCCATACAGGAAAGCGGGTACAAGTATCTCACGATGTGTGGATAAGTCTTGAATTTGTAGTCGAAAAGTAACCCGGTGTATGAGTAAATAGCTGGTAATCCGTGGATCAATACCTGAAACATTTAATTTAAATTAATTAGTCGGCTTTTATAAATAGATTTTATTTCTTTAGCCTAATATATCTATATATCTATATACTATATATAAACAATATTTAATTAATTAATTTTACAGAACTTTTCTTTAATTTTTTTTTTTTTTTAAATATAATTTTTATTTAAGCTCTTAAAAAATATATTTAATATTTAAGTCTAAAAATTATATCTAAAAGACTTTGACAATAATACACTGATAGAAGGATTAATTAATTACTAATAATTTAATTTATTAACATTTAATAAATTGTATTTAAAAAATATTTTATTAACAGGTAATAAACCTTATTATTATTAAATATAAACAAATCCTTCTATCAGTGTATTGAGTAGATAATAACTGGCTACAATAAAGAGATCTTGCTATTTAAAAATATTGAATTAATAATTTTTCTAAAATAATTGTTTATGTCGATAGTATTATTTTTTTTTTTATTTAAAGTTTACCAATATAATTAATTAATTACTAACTAATTAATTAGTTTACTTAAAGTTTACCATTATAATTAATATATAATGCAAAAATTTATGGTTTTAGCAAAAAACATTATTAAATAATTTTTTTTTTTGTTAGGTTCAGTAATTTATAACTCATAATAAGTTACAATTTACACTTCAACTTGCTTTGAATTAACTTCACATATTTTACAATATAATTTTTAATTATTATTATCATTTTGCAATAATTTTTATTGATCTTAAATACTTCTTTGTAAATAAATGTTAAAATTATTTGTATAACTAGTGTAAGACTTTTAGGGAGGTCTGGCTTCATATAATAAATAAAAAATAATAAATGATCTAATAATAAAACTGAATGATTATGAAAAAATAAAGCGCTTTAATTAAATATTCATCAGTTTATTTAAGATTTTATAGACTAAAATGCGTTATGATTTCCATAAAAAAAAATATTCCATTCAGAATTCATATATAGATTTAATAATTCATAGGACAATAGCCGGCGAACATTTCTTTATAAAAGCAAAACCGCTGACATTATTATAATAAAGAGAGAAAAAAAAATATTTTTTTATAGATTTTATAACGCAAGAAAAATAAATCCGAGGATTTTTTCCTGATCAAATGTGAAGGGAGGATGGAAAATATTTTTTTTATATGCAAAAAAATATAATTCTTTTGATGTCTTTTCTATTCAAAAGCTCTGAAAAAATAAAATACCTCAATTCTAAGATTCAACAAGATTCCGTCGTGTTTTTAGATGTAAAATTTGCGTTATTATGTTCTTATCTTTTGATGTGAATTTAAATTTTTAAAAGTTTATTTAAAGAATTTTTCTCCTCATGCACTCGGCAATGGAATTATTACAATTCTTTATTAAATTTTCAACTAAAGTATAACTTTGTGACATGTATTATGGTTTTAGCTTCGTTATCGTTCTATTTGTCTTGGGGTGAAGTACTTCAGGATAGTTTTGCCGGTAGCGTCACACAGTTCAGGGCCTTGGAGGTATTCTTAGGAATCATTAAACTTCTTGATAACTCAATTTAATCTCTGAATATTATTATATTATTTTTATTATTATTACGATTGCTATTTTATCTTTCATAATACTAAAAATAACAATAATAAACCAACACCCTTTGATTCATAAATACATTTTTTATCATACAAATAACGCCGGAGACAAAATTTTCCTTGTTCTCTTAATTATATATGGATAATTATTCCAGTGCTGTAGGTCAGCGATATTTAATTAAATCCCTACATTGTTGTCGTAAAGTGTGTGGGCTTGGGTTAACGTTCACAATTAATGCATCTCTATATTTGTGTAATACTTTGCGGATTGCTTAAATCACGTTAATCGTTGCAATCTCGTATCCTTACATATTACACGATTACAATCTCATCATGCAAATATAAGTCGCCGTAAACGCTTACGATCCAATTGATTGCCCAGCGGATCACCTTGAATTCCTTGATATATAATAGGGGAAATTAGTAACAAGATCCTTATCAATATACTATTAGGAGTTTATGTATGCAAACGGTCTTTAAGTTTGATATAGAACTCAAACTATATGTCCTAGAAAGTACGAAAAGTCTATTGTCAAATAAATTGGTAATTAAAATGTTAAAATTAAACTCATGAACAGAAAAATTCATTCCTTTTTTAGTAGATTGTTATTCAAATATAATTTCTTTGAGTAATAAATTTTTATTTAAATTGTATAATTTTTCTTATCGGAATACGGAAGCCAATTTTACAAGCTATTTAATCGATTTTATTAAGCAAGATAGAAAATTTTTCTACTTGGTCAAGTTTATTATCAAATTCGGTTTTACTTTATTTGGGAAGACTTTTTATAATATTTATCGAGCAGTTTTAATTAATTTTACTTAAAGAAAACTGAAAAAAATGAATGGACCTACTGTGGAGAAAAGAAAATAGTAATATTTATCATTTCATTTAGTTTACTTTAATTTAATAATAATAACAAAATAATAATTTAATAATTTCTTCATTGATTCATTTAATTTCTTCTTACATCCGCAGTAAAATTATTTATTTATTTATTAAATAAAAATCTCTATAGTATTTTCTTAAATGATGCTGAAATTACAGACATCTATAAATTTTTATCAACTAAAATATTACGGAAAAATTTTAATAAAAAAAAATCTCCATTAAAAAATTAAAAAACGTTCCAAAAATATTTTTTTTTATAATTTTAATTTTTATACTTGATAATTTTTTTTATAATTAATTTCGAGTGATAGTAATCATTACCATTCTAAATTGGAAATAAAACTATACTTTTTTTTTTTTTTAAAGGATTAAAATTAAGCAGAATGATCTTACCGCAGTGATAATGAGAATGGTATCACATCTGGCGAGTCCAATCAGGAGATAATTTATCGAGGATTTCATTTGCGGTCTCGACAATATTATCATGGAGATAATGTTCCCAAACAATCCAAACACACCGACCAGGTTCAATAGAATCCCATTAGTGATAAATTCGAAGAGTGCCCCGTCGCTGAGCTCAGTTTTGCACTCGAGGGTAAGATTTCCAATAGTCTTGTTCGGAATTCCACTTGTGGTGTCGAACTCAGAGAAGTAGTTGACCGTCGGTGATGCTTCTGGCGAATTGGTGGTGCTGGTGATATTGAGTACCGAGCTCCAGTCCATTGTTTACAAACAGAGACCGCTTTTCACAGTAGCTACTTGTTCTTCATCCAGTTACATACCACTTACGTCACCATCTTCCCTGCAGCGTCCAGTCCCCGAGGGGTCGTGTGTCCAGCTTTATATGTTATTTTCTTTTTCTTTTGTTTCCACAGAGCGTCTCCGGGGGATCACCAAACCTTCATGTCCTCAATGCCGCTTCAACTACAGCTTCCTCTAACGGAGAATTACTCCTGGTCTTTAAATTTTCTTCCACGTACGTATTTTTTTAAGATTAAACTCCGCTGTTTCCCGCTTCCTGTTATTTTATTATTATTATTATTATTATTATTATTTTGCTTTACTTCCATTCCACAGGGCGTTGTTTTCTTTTCATCTTATGTCCAACTTCATTGTTCCAAATTTTAATTCAATTACTGCGAACAACAAATAACAATAAGAGTTATTAAAAATAAAATAACTGTAGTAGAATTCACAAAGATAAAAAAAGGGTAATTATATTTAGTCTGTAATTCAAAATTATAATTATGTCTGATAATTATGTGGAGTAATATTATTTTGTTTAATGTAGAAACATTTTGCACATCGGTTTGGTATTGTTACAGTATAATTACATATTTGACGATGCGACACATGATTGTCGATTTTCACAGTGACAATGTACGACATCACAACAATTCCCACGAGCCATTATTCTCTGTGTCAAACAACATGATTCGCGTCATGAGCCAGCTAAATTCTCTGGTGACATATTTGGTCGAGCATTAAGGTCAATACGACTTGGTCAAATGTGTTTTGCACCTCGTTTAATCATTTATGTAGTTCTCTATTCAGGTAACTGTCTACCGATATCATCGCGTGAAAATTAACTTCCAAAATTTTTTACATTTCATAAGAATATTACTAATATTAAATGAATGTTGTGTTATGAAGCATTGTAATGAGTAATAATAGATACATAATTAAAAAACGAACTTGTATCTCGTGAACTATTGACATTTTTAAAGATATAAGCTCATCCTGATGTTACACTCATCGATACCTTTCATTTAAGTACCCACATCAATTTTTCATATATTTTATATATTTATATATATATTATATATATGTATATATGAAAAATATATCAAAAATGCATGAGGGTACTCAAATGAAAGCTCTTGATGAGTGTAACATTGGGATGAGCTTATATCTTTAAAATATATGTTATATATATATATATGTATATATGAAAAATATATCAAAAATGCCATGTGGGTACTTAAATGAAAGGTCTCGATGAGTATAACATCGAAATGAGTTTATATCTTAAGAAATGTCAATGATTAAGAAATGACATTGTATCTTGTCAAAACTAATGATATTTTTAAAGATATAAGCTCATCCCGACATTACATGCATCGAGAGCTTTCATTTGAGTATACCCACATCAATTTTTTTATATATTTCATATATTTATATATATATATATATATATATATATTATATATATGTACATATGAAATATATATTAAAAATGCATATGGGTACTCAAATGAAAGCTCTCGACGCGTTTTTTCTAAAACTTTTCTTTTTTTGAAGAAATAAAAACATTTTTATAAAAATGAAATTATTCTTAAATAAATATTTAATTTTTTACTCAAAAATAAACTTTTGAATTTAAAACCAAACTATGCGCTACAATTTTAAAGACTTCGTAAATATTCCCCTCGAGATCGGTAATTTTTTTATAGAACAGGTACATGTATGCATTTTTTTAATTCGCTATCTCAAAAAAAGAAAACGAGAAGGAAAAAAATAAAAGCTCTCGGAGGAAACCCGTGACATTGACTTGAATGTCTGGGTGATATTGCGTCGAGAAAAAAATGTAAAAGTCAACTAAACTCAACTCGGAAGTGCAGAGTAGGTTATTCATAAATTCCCAACTGGCAAGTTCTCTATACCCGGCTGACGTCATGTGCAGAGCAGTAAATCAGCCAACAGACATAATATGTAACAGCCGGTGTATCGAAGCATGCCTGACCAATACCTTATTTTTCTACTTCTCATCATACATTTTAATTGAACAATTATTTATATTTATTTCTCCCCTCGCATTCATTTTACTTCTCAGCTATTTTTTATCTAACTTCTTTTCTTTAATCAATCTATTTAAATTAAATATTCAAAGCTCTAATTATTGAGGTGAAAGCTTCGCCTTATTTGTATAAAAAATTTTTAATATATAAAGAGTATTTTTCTTTTTATTTATTCAATTACATTTATTGTTTTTATTCGTGTAACTAGAAATATTAAAAATATTAACGCTGAATATAAGTATATAGCGAAGTAGGTGCAAACAGTGTGTCACAAACTATAAGTACCCAGACAACGTGCCAAAATCTATGAGATGTACATGAGATTATTTTTGATCAGTGTGCTTTATTCTGTTTGTACTCTGATACTGACCCATTTTGGAAATTTATGAATTTAAACTAATTTTATATATTTAGTGATTACAAATTATATTATTATTATCTTATTTTTTTTTTTTTTTATCAATATTCGCAAATATTACAATTTTTTTTCCGTCTTTCTGAGTTTATATTTCAGTTTAATAATAATTATGTAAGCTCACTGTCCAATGTCCGTGTTTCAAGGCTGCTTTTTTTTTTATAAAATTTTAAGCTAATTGTTTAAATATGCATTTAATGTTTACCCAAAAATTTTACACACGTAAATAGCTTTTAAATTTTTAAACAACTTCATTGTTTTAAAGTCTGCAATCTAGAATTGAATCTTTATTTTCTGACAATGTATCAAAGTTTTTATTTATAATTTACAATAAAATAAATAAATTAAAATTATTTAGATTTCTAAAAATTGTGTTATATCGGACCGAGTCCAAGTAAAATAAGTTTATATTTTTTTTTATTATATTACTTTATTTTATCTTTTTTTTTACTATTTGTATTAGTCATAGTTCAACGTTTATTTGAGATTGAAATGATATTCTTAAAGGTTTCAAATTTCAACTTTATAGTTCTGAGAAGTTTTTTTTTTTATAAAAATATTTTAACAAATTCAAAAGTACCCTAAGTACACAGACCGGAGTAATAAAAATTATCTCCCGCTGAGACCCAGATAAGGGTGCAACGTTTCAACCTCAGATACACGTTAAAGCATATTTCCTTTAGTAATAAACTAGGAAAAAATTTTTTTTGAAATAGAAACTAGAGAAAAATTTTAAAAGGGAAATATTAGATTTTAAAGTTCTAATGGTTAAATTCAATACATTTTTTTTTTTTTTTTTACATGTTATATTCAAACTTAAATATTATTTATAATATTCGGCAACTTCAACTATAAATTACAGAATTAAATTTAGAAGGTCAATAAACTTAACAGTAATTATAATAATCATTAATAAGTATTCTAAATCTCAGGAAACAAAAATAACGTTAAAATAAATTTTAAATCAAAGAATTAATACAATAAAAATCAACGAATTTAAAAATTAACGGCAAATGACTAACTTGAATAACTAAATGTTAGTTAAAGAAATTAAAAATGAAATATTTAAACAAAATAAAATGTTAACAAAAATTTTTACTATAAGTACGGGACCTACGTGGAGGGAATGGTGCGACTCCTGAAACGAAGGGACTCATGAGAAGGGGAAAATTCTAAACTAGACGAAGGATAATTGGTTGGAGTTCCCCCGACTTAGGAAAACGAAACAAAGAAGTCACGCCCAGGCTTTTCCGAGAGGACCCAACAGAGTCAAAGAGAAAAAAAAAAAGTCAGTCGTTTTTTGAACTTTAGAAGTGAGTGTTCTACCCTCTCAGTAATAGTAATTTCCCTTTGTTTCTTCTTCTGGTGAAGTAACCTCTCGAGGAAGCCATGGCGTTCAAACTCAAGTATGTTAATTATCTTTTTTAATTTTTCTTCTTTATTTGATTGACCTCAAATTTTATTTGTTCATTGTAATTGTTTTATTCAATATAACCGATATGATTTTACTTAAAGTAACATTTTTTTTTTCCATTTCGTTAAAATACCTTTCCCCACAGTTTAAGATCCCAAACCTATTGGTTATAACTAGGGTTTAAAATTAATTTTAATAAATAATCAGAATCAGTTACGTTCGACATCAGTAACAATTGTTTAAATTGACAAATCGATCATTGTTAATTTTAATTGTTTGATTTTTGATACTGAGTAATGAGAAAATTGAAAATTTATCGCTTCACTTATAAATTGTTTATTTTTTTATGCTCTTTAAGTAAAAAAATTGAATAAAGTTCACCTAAAAATTGAAAAATGTTAATAAAAAATCAGACGTGAAGTTTTTTTATTTTCAAACTATAAAAAAAATTTGGATATAAATTCATGTGAATTTTTAATAAGAGATAAATTTACGATGAAAAAGAAAATTTGTCAATAACTCAATTTCTCAATTTTTATAGCCGAAAGTGAAACTCAGAACTCAAATAATTACCTCAATATCAATTTCATCAGTGTAAGCAGTTTATAAAAGTATTTACAATGCGGATCTTTATCATTTCAGGGTACACACTATCTTTTCATTTGTAATAAATCATTCTCGGGTTATCTGTTTGTTATATTTTTTGCGTCTTCTGGTTAAGCGGTCAGGTTTGAAAAAATTCGGGGCGAAGATAAATTTATCAATCAAAAAAGATATTTCTGAAAGCTTCATTGCGTTTTGCTTCAATTCTATAAAATTAATAAATATCATAAATTTGGGTGATAAAAATTTAAAGAAGTCAATGATTTTTCCCACAAAACTACACGGAGAGAAAAATATGGAAATCATTCCTATAATTTAAATGAAATATTTTCCTATACCATTTTAGGAGCGATTACTTAAATTATGCACTTTATACCCATAATTTTTGGGAAACGTTACTATAATTATGGGAATGGTTCCTATAATTATAGGAACGATACCTATAATTATAACTGTAATATCGGCATGATTCCCATAATATATTGAAGCTATT